CCTCCTCATTCTCTGACGTGGGATTCTGTAGCCGATGGCAGTGGGCCTGTCACTTTTTCTCAACTATCCTGAACACCTTCTCTGTCAGCCAGGGTGTCTGGGGAGGTCTGGACCGCGTACCCAAAGCAGTCAATGCAGCTGCATTAGTGACAGTCCTAAACCTCGCCCATTTACCCTCGACATCAGGAGTGGGGGACGATGCCAACCCCAGCCGCAGGCGATGTTGAAATTCTCGCTTGCAACTGTCATCAGATAACTGAGACCAGGCCACTTTAGGTTGGAATGGGGTCCTGGGTGTACACCCACCACCGGAGCGGAAGAATGGCAGGAGCATCTTACAGATGACAAGTCGATGGTCAGAGGGCAGATCAGCTCCATGGTAGGTCCTGGTGTCAAGGACATGGGCTCGCATCCGCTGGTCCGTCACTATGTAGTCCAGTAGATGTTCTTGGTTGGTCCCGGCATGCATCCATGACGTTGTGTGGATGCGCCGATGCCTGAACAGCGTGTTGGTAATTACAAGCCCATGGGCTGCACAAAAATCTAGCAGCCTCTTACCGTTGTTATTGAGCTGATCTGGCCCATGCCTTCCAATTACTCCAGACCAGGTGCCAGCATCATGACCCTCTCAGGCATTGAAGTCACCCAACAAGATGACTCTATCCCGAGGGGCCACTTTAGCTAACACCTGTGGCAGGAGGTCATAGAAGGCATGTGACTCATCCGCTTTGCCTGCATCCCTCCACGGAAGTTCGTCTTCGGTGTGGGCATAAGTAACCAGGACCACCACTCCTTGCCTCCCGTTGATGGGAAGGTGAGCCCAAAGTAGCCTGGGGCTTACAGCTTCCCACACCTCACCCCCACGATCCCACGCCCCCTTCATTATTTTGTTCATATGTAGAGCCACACCATGTTGTTTGGCAGTCTGCTGCCCCGAGTAGAGGACTGTCCACCCCTCATGGTGGCAGGAGCCAGAACCGGTCCACCGGACCTCCTGAATGCCACAGAGATCCAGGTGGTACCGGTCCAGTTCTTGACAGAGGAGTGGCAGCCTCTCCTCCGCAGTGAGCGTTCGAACATTCCACGTGGCCACACGTAGTGGCTTTTCGTTGTTTCTGGAGGAGCCCCGAGGGTAGAGATTCAATCTCCTGGCTCTGCCAATTGGGGTTTGGCCAGGAGACGTCATAGACGCCTGTCCCCCCGGGGCCTCCGGCACAAGCTTATTAGTTAGATATTTTAGACGTGGTTTAGTGGTAATTTTTTGAAGGTAGAGGGGTTACCAGCCCCTCTCACCCGTCCAGAGCCCCCGTTTAGCCCCTGTGGTGGTCACAGACGCCATGAGGTTAGGAGCCAATCGGAATTGGACCTCCCCCCACAGCACTGTCCACGACAGAGTTGCCCTTCCGGACACCGAGGAGGTAGGGGGTTGTTTTGCCGGACTACATACATGTACACACACACGCACACACGCACAAAGACACACACGTACATACATACACGCGCGTACACACAACAACAACAACAACCGCCATTCGCCACTAAGTGGCGGTGACGTCACCACGACGCTTGTGCCAGGCTATGTGCACCTTGAGGCCACGTGAAGTGTCGAACGCCCGCTGGCAGGAGGTCACGGGGCAGACCCAGGTGCCACGGGTCGACTGACTGAGATGACTGGTTGATGCACCACCTGTGCCCCCTACTGTGCCAACCTGCTGTGCTTTAGCCACACGGCGCTCCGATCGTTGTTGTGGGCGTCGCTCCTCCGCCCTCCGTTGTTGTTGGAGGGCGACTGCCTCCAACTGCCCAGTAGCGTCCTTCACGAGCCTCCTCCACAGAGGCCGATCTTGACACCGCTGGTACCAGTCATCGGCAAGTCCACTCAGCTCCACGTCCTCTCTAGCCCGTGGCGCGCCCATTTAGCCCCCTCGTTCCGGCCGAACAAAAGCTGTTTCGGCATGCGGTGGCTGGGCATGCTGGCTACATGACCCAGCCAACCCAGCCTTGCCTGCCGGAGTAGCTCACCGATGGGACCTTGCCCAGATCTTTCAAGGATTTGTGAGCTCCTCACACAATCCAGCCTGGTTAAACCCAGGATTTCACGTAGGCAGGCCAGCCTAAATGTTTCTAACCGGCGAAGATGTTCCATTAAGGGGGTCCACGTTTCGCAAGCGTAGAGAAGGGAGGGAATGACCGTGGCCGAGAAGACCTGAAGCTTAGTGCGGAGCGACAGACCAGGTAGCTTCCACACAGCGTTACGCAACCGATGAAAAGATATTGCCGCTCGACTGATTCGGAGTGAGACCTCTGCTGTTAGACTGGAGGCGGTCATAAGCACACTGCCCAGGTATGGGAAACTCTCCACTCTTTCCACAACTTCCCCATCACCAATTGGGAGTTGTGGGGGTGGAGTGTCCACTGGTACAAAATACCCAAGCAGGTGCTTAGTTTTTCTGGGGCTGATGGTAAGGCCCCACCTCTTAGTGGCAAGCTCCAGTCTCAGCAGCAGCGTCTCCAACTCCTCCTCTGAGTGAACAGCAATTACCAAATAATCGGCATACATAACGTGGTTGAGCAATAGGGAGCCATTCCTTGACCGCACCCGGGCATCAATGAGCCTCCCATTATATCTGTACCAAATGGAGATTCCCCCGGTACAGCTATTGAAGGCTTCACGAACTACGTGGTCGAAATATATGTTAAATAATGTTGGAGCCAGAGGACATCCCTGTCGCACCCCAAGGTGAACAGGGAGTGACTCCGACTTCCGGCCACGTAGTTTTACCCGGGCCTGCTCACCATCATGAAGGTCCTTAATGATCGTGAGCAGCGGGTCAGGGACTCCGAAAGCACAAAGAACAACCCAGAGCCCGGCATACTGATGATATCATAGGCCTTGACCAGGTCAATAAAGCAGAGATGTAGGTCTTGTTGGAATTCCCTACACCTCTGCTGTAGCAGACGGAAAGAAAATATGGCATCTGTGCAGGACCGCCCTTTCCTGAAACCACATTGGGGCTCCGCAAGCCTCTCCTCAGCGTGCCTGGCAAGGCGATGTTGAATAATCCTTGCCAGGACCTTTCCCGGCACACTGAGGAGTGAGATGCCCCTGTAGTTGTTACGACTCACACACACACACAGAGACCCACAGACTACTCACACACACAGAGACCCACAGACTACTCACACAGTAGAGACCCACAGATTACTCACACAGTAGAGACCCACAGACTACTCACACACACAGAGACCCACAAACTACTCACACCCACACACAGAGACCCATAGACTACTCACACAGTAAAGACCCATAGACTGCTCACACAGTAGAGACCCACAGACTACTCACACAGTAGAGACCCACAGATTACTCACACAGCAGAGACCCACAGACTACACACACAGAGACCCACAAACTACTCACACCCACACACAGAGACCCATAGACTACTCACACAGTAAAGACCCATAGACTGCTCACACAGTAGAGACCCACAGACTACTCACACAGTAGAGACCCACAGACTACTCACACAGTAGAGACCCACAGACTACTCACACAGTAGAGACCCACAGACTACTCACACAGTAGAGACCCATAGACTACTCACACAGTAGAGACCCACAGACTACTCACACAGTAGAGACCCATAGACTACTCACACAGTAGAGACCCACAGACTACTCACACAGTAGAGACCCACAGACAACTCACACAGTATAAACCCACAGACTACTCACACAGTAGATACCCATAGACTAATCACACAGTAGAGACTCATAGACTACTCACACACACAGAGACCCACAGAGACCCACAGACTACTCACCCAGAGAACCACAGACTACTCACACAGTAGAGACCCACATACTACTCACACACAGTAGAGACCCACAGACTACTCACACAGTAGAGACCCACAGACTACTCACACAGTAGAGACCCACAGACTACTCACACAGTAGAGACCCACAGACTACTCACACAGTAGAGACCCATAGACTACTCACACCGTAGAGACCCACAGACTACTCACACAGTAGAGACCCACAGACTACTCACACAGTAGAGACCCATAGACTACTCACACAGTAGAGACCCACAGACTACTCACACAGTAGAGAGACCCACAGACTACTCACACAGTAGAGACCCACAGACTACTCACACAGTAGAGACCCACAGACTATTCACACAGAGACCCACACACTACTCACACACACAGAGACCCACAGACTACTCACACAGAGACCCACAGACTACTCACACAGTAGAGACCCACAGACTACTCACACAGTAGAGACCCACAGACTACTCACACAGTAGAGACCCACAGACTACTCACACAGTAGAGACCCACAGACTACTCACACAGTAGAGACCCACAGACTACTCACACAGTAGAGACCCACAGACCACTCACACACAGAGACATCTTAATCCGGACAAAGTCGTGGAGGCGGAGTCATCGTGCAGAACACCGATCAACTTTATTAGGAACTTCACCCAATCACATTGCCCCAAAATTTCACCCCCAAAGCACTTGTGCAATCCTGAGAGACGTGTGTGGTGCAAAGACAAAGGTCACCCATGTAGCCTCTAGCAGGCTGTAGGGGCAAGTGCTGTGAGTAGCAGCAGTGCCTATAGACACACAGACAAAGGTCCCCCGTGTAGCCTCTAATAGGCTGTAGGGGCAAGTGCTGTGAGTAGCAGCAGCAGTGCTCTATATACACACAGACAAAGGTCCCCCGTGTAGCCTCTAGTAGGGTGTAGGGGCAAAGTGCTGTTAGTAGCAGCAGTGCCCTATAGACACACAGACAAAGGTCCCCCGTGTAGCCTCTAGCAGGATGTAGGGGCAAGTGCTGTTAGTATCGAGTAGCAACATCAGCCCCTATGATGATCATGGTGATGGTAGTGATAGTGGTGGTGGTAGTGATGTGGTGGTGATGTTAGTGATGTGGTGGTGATGTTAGCGATGTGGTGGTGATGGTAGTCACGATGATTATGGTGATGGTAGTGATGTGGTCGTGATGGTGGTGGTGATTATGTTGGTAGTAAATTGATGGTGATGATGAGGGTGGTGATGTGGTGGTGATGGTGACATTGTAGGAGACGCCTTCACCGCCTGGATGTCCCGTGACTCCAACTTAGACTCCTGCGGGCTCACACACAGAGAGAGACAAAGGTGGCACGGGTTTACTCCAACGCCACCACCAGCAGCACCACCACCTCCACCACCACCTGTACCACCACCAACCTCCACCACCACCTGTACCACCACTAGCACCACCACCACTAGCACCACCACCACCTGTACCACCACCATCTCTACCAGCACCAACACCTACACCACCAAATCCACCACTACCACCTCCACCACCACATGTACAACCACCACTAGCACCACCACCTCCACCACCAAATCCACCACTACCACCTCCACCACCACATGTACAACCACCACTAGCACCACCACCTCCACCACCAACTCCACCACTACCACCTCCACCTCCTTCACCACCACCACCACCTCCTCCACCACCACCACCACCTCCACCACCACCACCAGCCCCACCACTGAGATGATGTGTAGGAGCTCTTTTTCAGAAGCAACCTTGCCCATCACAAAAGCTCAACCCAAGTGGCTGACATCATCATCATCATCGTCGTCGTCACCATCACCATCGCCATCGTCACCACCACGTGTGAATCTACAGCAGCAGCAGCGGCAGCAGCCAAACAACTCTAGGACAGCGTGGTGGTGACGTCGATTCTTAAATGTGGAGGGGAGAAACCGGAGGACCCAGAGAAAAATCCACAGGGTTTGGGAAGCTCTCCACTCTGTCCACAACTGCTGCCCTATCGCCAACGCAGCCTTGCCTGCCGGAGGAGCTCACCGATGGGACCTTGCCCAGATCTTTCAAGGATTTGTGAGCTCCTCACACAATCCAGCCTGGTTAAACCCAGGATGGATCGTAGGCAGGCAAGCCTAAATGTTTCTAACCGGCGAAGATGTTCCATTAGGGGGGGTCCACGTTTCGCAAGCGTAGAGAAGGGAGGGAATGACCGTGGCCTAGAAGACCTGAAGCTTAGTGCGGAGCGACAGACCAGGTAGCTTCCACACAGCGTTACGCAACCGATGAAAAGATAATGCTGCTCGACTGATTCGGAGTGAGACATCTGCTGTTAAACTGGAGGCGGTCATAAGCACACTGCCCAGGTATGGGAAACTCTCCACTCTCTCCACAACTTCCCCATCACCAATTGGGAGTTGTGGGGGTGGAGTGTCCGATGGTACAAAATACCCAGGCAGGTGCTTAGTTTTGGTGGGGCTGATGGTAAGGCCCCATCTCTTAGTGGCACGCTCCAGTCTCAGCAGCAGCGTCTCCAACTCCTCCTCTGAATGAGCAGCTATTACCAAATCATCGGCATGCATAACGGTAGTTGAGCAATAGGGAGCCATCCCTTGACTGCACCCGGGCATCGATCAGCCTCCCATTATATCTGTACCAGATGGAAATTTCTCCGGTACAGCTATTAAAGGCTTCATGAACTACGTGGTCGAAATAGATGTTAAATAATGTGAGAGCCAGAGGACATCCCTGTCGTACTCCAAGGTGTACAGGGAATGGCTCTGACTCCCGGCCACGTAGTTTTACCCGGGCCCGCTCACCATCATGAAGGCTCTTAATGATCGTGAGCAAAGGGTCAGGGACTCCGAAAGCACGAAGAACAACTCAGAGCCCAGGCCTACTGATGGTATCATAGGCCTTGACCAGGTCAATAAGCAGAGATGTAGATGTTGTTGGAAATGCCTACACCTCTGTTGTAGCAGATGGCCAGAAAATATAGAATCCCTGCAGGACTGCCCTTTCCTGAAACTCGCATTGGGGCTCCGCAAGCCTCTCCTCAGCATGCCTAGCAAAGCAATGTTGAATAATCCTTGCCAGGACCTTTCCCGGTACACTGAGGAGTGAGATACCCCTGTAGTTATTGCAGTCTGTGCGCTCCCCCTTCTTAAAGAGGGGGACCAGCAGGGCATCCTTCCAATTCTGTGGAACCCGTCCAGTGGTCCAGACTGTTCTTATGATGTCATATAGGGCAGTTTGTGCACAAACGCCACCCTCCCTCAGCATTTCGCTTGGGAGATCATCTCTGCCCGGTGCCTTTCCTGGTCTCAGACTCCGGATCGCCTTCAGTCTTGCTCAACAGATGGCACCTCAGCCAGCTACTCACAGGGGGTGACTTCTTCCAATATTTGAGGCACCGCAGCCCGGCAGGGTCATCCCCACTTTGTCCACGTTATTATCCAGGCTGAGGGATGTCCCACCCAGGAGCTTACAGAAATGCTCAGCAAATCTGCAAACCTGTTCCTGGGGGTCGGAGATTGGATCACCGTTCTTTCCCCTAATGATGGTAATAGGTGTGGCACTGCAGGTCACTTTTTTGATGCTGTAGCCAATGACTGTGGGCCTGTCGATTTTTCTCAGCCAGCCGGAACACCTCCTCTGTCAGCCAGGGTCTCTGGGGGGTCCGGACCGCGTACTCAATGCAGCCATTGCAGCTGCATGAGTCACAGTCCTAAACCTCGCCCATTTCCCCTCGACATCAGGAGGAGTGGGGGACGATGCAAACCTTAGCTAAAGGCGTTGATGAAATTCTCGCTTCCAACTTTCATAAGTTAGCTGCGACCATGCCACTAAGGGTTTGATTTGGGTCCTGGGTGTACACCCACCACCGGAGTGGAAGAATGGCAGGCGCATCTTCCAGATGACAAGTCGATGGTCAGTGGGCAGATCAGCTCCATGGTAGGTCCCGGTGTCAAGGACATGGGCCCGCATCCGCTGTTCCGTCACTATATAGTCCAGCAGATATTCTTGCTTGAACCCAGCATGCATCTATGATGTTGTTTGGATGCGCCGATGCCGGAACAGCGTGTTGGTAATTACAAGCCCATGGGCTGCACAAACATCTAGCAGCCTCCTACCGTTGTTATTGAGCTGATCTGGCCCATGCCTTCCAATCACTCCAGACCAGGTGCCAAAAGCATGACCAACTCGGGCATTGAAGTCACCCAACAAAATGACTCTATCCCGAGGGGCCACTTTAGCCAGCACCTGTGACAGGAGGTCATTGGAGACATCTAACTCATCGGCCTTGCCTGCATCCCTCCACGGATGTTCGTCTTCGGTGGGGGCATAAGTAACCACGACCACCACTCCTGGCCTCCGGTTGATGGGATGGCGAGCCCAAAGTAACCTGGGGCTTACAGCTTCCCACACCTCACCGCCACGCTCCCACGCCCCCGTCATGAGACTGCCACACACTGGCAGTCTCCCGCCCCGAGTAGAGGACTGTCCACCCCTTATGGTGACAGGAGCCAGAACCGGTCCACCGGGCCTCCTGAATACCACAGAGATCCAGGCGGTACCGGTCCAGCTCCCAACAGAGGAGTGGCAGCCTCTCCTCCGCAGTGAGCATTCGAACATTCCACGTGGCCACCCGTAGTGGCTTTTTCTTGTTTCTGGAGGAGCCCCGAGGGTAGAGATTCAATCTCCTGGCTCCGCCAAATGGGGTTTGGCCAGGAGACGTCATAGAAGCCTGTCCCCCCGGGGCCTCCGGCACAAGCTTATGATTAAAAAATTTCTGTCGTGGTTTAGCGGTAATTGATTGAAGGTGGATGGGGTTACCAGCCCCTCGTAACCATCCAGAGCCCACTGTTTGGCAGCTGTGGTGGTCACAGACGCCGTGAGGGGAGGAGCCAATCGGAATCGGCCCTCCCCCCACAGCACTGCCCACGACAACGTTGCCCGTCCGGCACCACGAGGAGGTGGGGGGTTGTTTTTCCGGACCACGTGCACACACACACAGAGGCAGAGCACACACAGACCCACACACAGCACCCACACACAGCACCCACACAGACAGCCGACTCACCTTGGCTTGGCCACACGCAAGCTCCGAGCCCCTGGTTGAACACCAGGCCCTGCTGGCAGAGTTTGTGGTAGGTGTTGTGGTTGGAGCAGTGGTAGAAGGCGTTGCTGTTCTGCGAGTCTGCGAACATGCCGTCCGCCTTGGCCTCGCAGAAGTTCGCCACGAACGCTGCGCACGACAGGCAAAGGTGACCCGCGTAGCCTCTTAGCAGAGGGAAGGGGGCAAGTGGCTGTGAGCGACCAGCTCCTATTGATACACACACAGACAAAGATGCCCCGTGTAGCCTCTAACAGACGGCAGGGGCAAGTGCTGTTAGTATCAGGACCTATCGACACGAATGCAAAGGTGCCCCGTGTAGCCTCTAGCAGGGCTGTCGGGGCAAGTGCTGTGAGTAGCAGCAGCAGTGCCCTGTAGACACACAGACAAAGGTCCCCCGTGTAGCCTCTATCAGGGATGTAGGGGCAAGTGCTGTGAGTAGCAGCAGCAGTACCATATAGACACACAGACAAAGGTCCCCTGTGTAGCCTCGAGATGACACGAGTTGAGGGCTTACGTGGTACGGTGATTCCCTGGGTGGTCGCTTGTGCGACGTTTTCTGGAATTGCACACACAACACAGACACAGACTCAGTGTGGGCATAGTCTATGGGTCTCTGTGTGAGTAGTCTGTGGATCTCTACTGTATGAGTAGTCTACGGGTCTCTACTGTGTAAGTAGTCTACGGGTCTCTACTGTGTGAGTAGTCTACGGGTCTCTACTGTGTGAGTAGCCTATGGGTCTCTACTGTGTGAGTAGTCTGTGGGTCTCTACTGTGTGAGTAGTCTGTAGGTCTCTACTGTGTGAGTAGTCTGTGGGTCTCTGTGTGAGTAGTCTGTGGGTCTCTACTGTGTGAGTAGTCTATGGGTCTCTACTGTGTGAGTAGTCTACGGGTCTCTACTGTGTGAGTAGTCTGTGGGTCTCTACTGTGTGAGTAGTCTATGGGTCTCTACTGTGTGAGTAGTCTACGGGTCTCTACTGTGTGAGTAGTCTGTGGGTCTCTACTGTGTGAGTAGTCTGTGGGTCTCTACTGTGTGAGTAGTCTACGGGTCTCTACTGTGTGAGTAGTCTGTGGGTCTCTACTGTGTGAGTAGTCTGTAGGTCTCTACTGCGTGAGTAGTCTGTGGGTCTCTACTGTGTGTGAGTAGTCTGTGGGTCTCTACTGTGTAAGTAGTCTACGGGTCTCTACTGTGTGAGTAGTCTACGGGTCTCTACTGTGTGAGTAGCCTATGGGTCTCTACTGTGTGAGTAGTCTGTGGGTCTCTACTGTGTGAGTAGTCTGTGGGTCTCTACTGTGTGAGTAGTCTGTGGGTTTCTACTGTGTGAGTAGTCTGTAGGTCTCTACTGCGTGAGTAGTCTGTGGGTCTCTACTGTGTGTGAGTAGTCTGTGGGTCTCTACTGTGTGAGTAGGCTATGGGTCTCTAGTGTGTGAGTAGTCTGTGGGTCTCTACTGTGTGAGTAGTCTGTGGGTCTCTACTGTGTGAATAGTCTGTGGGTCTCTACTGTGTGAGTAGTCTGTGGGTCTCTACTGTGTGAGTAGTCTGTGGGTCTCTACTGTGTGAGTAGTCTATGGGTCTCTACTGTGTGAGTAGTCTATGGGTCTCTACTTTGTGAGTAGTATGTGGGTCTCTACTGTGTGAGTAGTCTGTGGGTCTCTACTGTGTGAGTAGTCTGTGGGTCTCTACTGTGTGAGTAGTCTGTGGGTCTCTACTGTGTGAGTAGTCTGTGGGTCTCTACTGTGTGAGTAGTCTGTGGGTCTCTACTGCGTGAGTAGTCTGTGGGTCTCTACTGTGTGTGAGTAGTCTGTGGGTCTCTACTGTGTGAGTAGTCTGTGGGTCTCTACTGTGTGAGTAGTCTGTGGGTCTCTACTGTGTGAGTAGTCTGTGGGTCTTTACTGTGTGAGTAGTCTATGGGTCTCTACTGTGTGAGTAGTCTGTGGGTCTCTACTGTGTGAGTAGTCTGTGGGTCTCTACTGTGTGAGTAGTCTGTGGGTCTCTATTGTGTGAGTAGTCTATGGGTCTCTACTGTGTGAGAAGTCTGTGGGTCTCTACTGTGTGAATAGTCTGTGGGTCTCTGTATGTGTAGTCTGTGGGTCTCTATGCAAAGCGAGTCTATGGGTGGGTGAACGAGTGGGTGAATGAGCAAATTAGTGAGTGAATTAATGAGGGGGAGTATGAGTGAGTCGGCGAATGAGTGAATGGGTGGGTGAGTGAACGAGTGGTGAGGTGAATGGGTTACTGAGTGTGTGTGTATTTGCGTGAATGATTGTGTGAGTGTGTGAATGAGTTGGTGCCGGATGTTAACGGTGTGGTGAGCAGTGCCCTGGGGGGGAAGGCCAATTTCGATTGGTCATTCCCCTCGTGGCGCTCACAACAACGAGCGGAGCGCCGGGTGGCTAAAGCACAGCAGTTTGGCACAGTAGGGGGCACAGGCGGTGCATCAGCCAGTCGTCTCAGTCAGTCGACCCGCGGCACCTGGGTCTGCCCCGTGACCTGCTGCCAGCGGGCGTTCGACACTTCACGTGGCCTCAAGGTGCACATGGCCTGGCACAAGCATCGTGGTGACATCACCGCCACTTAGTGGTGAATGGCGGTTGTTGTTGTTGTTGTTGAGTGGGTGTACAAGCGAGCAGGTGAATGAATGGGTGGGTGAATGAGTGGATGGGGTGAATGTGAGATGCGTACCGGGCCAGTCGCACACGCTGACGGCCGGGTTGAACACCAGGTTGGCTGGGCATTGCTTGTGGTACGTCAGGAAATTGGAGCAGTGGTAGAAGCTGTGGGAGTCTGAGGGGTCTGCGTACAGACCATCAGCCTTGATCTGACAGAATCCCGGGTTCACCACTGCAGGAGACAAAGGTGGAGCTGTTAGCGGGTCTCTATGTGATGAGTCTGTGGGTCTCTATGTGATGAGTATGTGGGTATCTGTGCGATGGGTCTGTGGGTCTCTGTGTGATGAGTACGTGGGTCTCTATGTGATGAGTCTGTGGGTTTCTGTGTGATGAGTCTGTGGGTTTCTGTGCGATGAGTCTGTGGGTCTCTGTGCGATGGGTCTGTGGGTCCCTGTGTGATGAGTCTGGGTCTCTGTGTGATGAGTCTATGGGTCGCTGTGTGGTGAGTTTGTAGGTCTCTGTGTGATGAGTTTGTTGGTCTCTGTGTGATGAGTCTATGGGTCTCTGTGTGATGAGTCTATGGGTTTCTGTGTGATGAGTCTATGGATCTCTGTGTGATGAGTCTGTGGGTCTCTGTGTGATGAGTCTGTTGGTCTCTGTGTGATGAGTCTATGGGTCTCAAATGACTAGCCTATGGATCTCTGTGTGATGAGTCTATGGGACTCTGTGTGATGAGTCAATGGGTCTCTGTGTGATGAGTCTGAGGGTCTCTGTGTGATGAGTCTATGGGTCTCTGTGTGATCAGCCTACAGCTCACTCTGCGAGTCGTCTGTGGGTGGGTGAATGAGCGGGCGAGTGGGTAGGTGAATGAATGGGTGGGTGTATGAATGAGTGGGTGAATGAATGAGTGGGTGAATTAATGAATGAGTGGAAGATTGAATTAATGAGTGGGTGAATGAGTGTGCGAGTGGATAGGTGAATTAATGGGTGGGTGAATGAATGAATGAGTGGGAAAATTAATGAATGGGTGGGTGAATGAGCGTGCGAGTGGGTAGGTGAAAGAATAATTGAGTGGGTAGGTGAATGAATGGGTGGGTGAATCAATGAATGAGTGGGATGGTGAATGAATGAGTGGGTGAATCAACGTGTGAGTGGGTAGGTGAAAGAAATGAATGAGTGGTAAGGTGAACGAATGGGTGGGTGAATGAGCGTGCGAGTGGGTAGGTGAAAGAATGAATGAGTGGGAAGGTGAATGAATGGGTGCGTGAATCAGCGTGCGAGTGGGTAGGTGAACGAATGGGTGGGTGAATGAGTGAATGGGTGAATGAGTGAATAGGTTAATGTGCGATACGTACCGGGCCAGTCGCACACGCTGATGGCCGGGTTGAACACCAGGTTGGCTGGGCATTGCTTGTGGTACGTCAGGAAATTGGAGCAGTGGTAGAAGCTGTGGGAGTCTGAGGGGTCTGCGTACAGACCATCGGCCTTGCTCTGACAGAATACCGGGTTCACCACTGCGGCAGACAAAGGTGGAGCTGTTAGCGGGTCTCTATGTACGTGGGTCTCTGTGTGATGAGTCTACGGGTCTCTGTCTGATGAGACTATGGGTCTCTGTGTGATGAGTCTATGGGTCTCTATTTGATGAGTCTATGGGTCTTTGTTTGATGAGTCTATGGGTCTCTGTGTGATGAGTCTATGGGTCTCTGTGTGATAAGTCTATGGGTCTCTGTGTGATGAGTCTATGTGTCTCTGTGTGATGAGTCTATGGGTCTGTGTTTGATAAGTCTATGGGTCTCTGTTTGATGAGTCTATGGGTTTCTGTGTGATAAGTCTATGAGTCTCTGTGTGATGAGTCTATGGGTCTCTGTGTGATGAGTCTATGGGTCTCTGTGTGATGAGTCTATGGGTGTCTGTGTGATGAGTCTCTGTGTGATAAGTCTATGAGACTCTGTGTGAGTCTATGGGTCTCAAATGAGTAGTCTATGGGTCTCTTGGTGATGAGTCTGTGGGTCTCTGTGTGATGAGTATATGTAACACAACCCCCTACCTCCTCGTGGTGCCGGACGTGCAACACTGTCGTGGACAGTGCGGAGGGGGGGAGGGCCAATTTCGAGTGGCCTTTCCCCTCATGGCATCTGTGACCACCAGAGCGGCTAAATGGGGGCTCTGGACAGGTGTGAGGGGCAGTTAACCCCTCCACCTTCAATTAATTACCACTAAACTACGACCGAAATGTTTAATTAACAAGCTTGTGCCGGAGGCTCTGGGGGGACAGGCATCTATGACGTCTCCTGGGCAAACCCCATTTGGCGGAGCCAGGAGATTGAATCTTTACCCTCGGGGCTCCTCCAGAAACAATAAAATGCAACTACGGTAGCAACGTGGAATATTCGAACGCTCATTGCGGAGGGGAGGCTGCCACTCCTCTGTTGGGAGCTGGACCGGTACCGCCTGGATCTCTGTGGTATTCAGAAGGTCCGATGGACCGGCTCTGGCTCCTGCCACGATGAGGGGTGGACAGTCCTCTACTCGGGGCAGCAGACTGCCAAAAAACAGGGTGTGGCTCTTCTTTTGAACAAAAGAATGAAGGGGGCGTTGGAGCGTGGCTGTGAGGTGTGGGAAGATGTAAGCTCCAGGCTACTTTGGGCTCGCCTTCCCATCAACCGGAGGCAAGGAGTGGTGGTCCTGGTTACTTATGCCCCCACGGAAGACGAACATCCGTGGAGGGATGCAGGCAAAGCCGATCAGTCAGATGCCTTCTATGACCTCCTGTCACAGGTGCTTGATAAAGTGGCCCCTCGGGATAGAGTCATCTTGTTGGGTGACTTTAATACCCGAGTTAGTCATGATGCTGGCACCTGGTCTGGAGTGATTCGAAGGCATGGGCCAGATCAGCTCAACAACAACGGTAGGAGGCTGCTAGATTTTTGTGCATCCCATGGGCTTGTAATTACCAACACGCTGTTCCTGCATCGGCGCATCCAAACAACATCGTGGATGCATGCCGGGTCCAAGCAAGAACATCTGCTGGACTACGTAGTGACAAAAGAGCGGATGCGGGCCAATGTCTTTGACACCGGGACCTACCGTGGAGCTGATCTACCCTCTGCCCATCGACTAATCATCTGTAAGATGCGCCTGCCATTCTTCCACTCAATCCTAAGGTGGCCTGGTCTCAGCTAGCTGATTAAAGTTGCAAGCGAGAATTTCATCATCGCTTGCGGCTGGTGTTGGCATCGTCCCCTATTCCTCCGATTTCGAGGGTAAATGGGTGAGATCAAGGACTGTGACTCAGGCAGCTGCAATGGCTGCTTTGGGTACGCGGTCCAGACCTCCCCAGACACCCTGGTTGACAGAGGAGGTGTTCAAGCTGGCTGAGAAAAAGCGACAGGCTCACCCTCATCGGCTACAGCATCCCATGTCGGAGAATGAGGAGGCTTACCGCCACCTTCGCTCGGAGGTTCGGGGAGCCGTGAGGTGCTGCAAGGATGGGTGGTGGTCGTGGGTTGCTGAGGAGATGGAGTCTGCCTCAATGGCCCGCGATCACAATTCTCTATTTAATTCCATCAAAAAAGTAACCTGCAGTGCCACACCTATTACCATCATTAGGGGAAAAAATGGTGATCCAATCTCCGACCCCCAGGAACAGGTTTGCAGATTTGCTGATCATTTCTGTGAAGTACTGGGGGAGGGGAAATCCCTCCACATGGAAAACATCGTGGGAAAAAGTGGGGATAACCCTGCTGAGGCTGCGGTGCCTCAAATATTGGAAGAGGAAGTCACCCCCTGTGAGCGGCTGTCTGAGGTGACATCTGTTGAGGAAGTATTGAAGGCGATCCAGAGTCTGTAGCCAAGAAAGGCACCGGGCAGAGATGATCTCCCAAGTGAAATGCTGAGGGAGGGAGGCGTTTGTGCACAGACTGCCCTATATGACATGATAACAACAGTTACATGGCCTGGCACAAGCATCGTGGTGACGTCACCGCCACCTAGTGGCGAATGGCGGTTGTTGTTGGTGGTGATGATCATCATCACCACCACTATCACCACCACCATCACCACCATCACCACCTTCACCCTCCCGGCTTCTACAGAGGCCACGACACCCTCATCAAGGCGTGCAACGGAGATGGAGGGGAGTGTGGGTGGAGGGTGGAGTCGACACGAGTTGAGGGCTTACCCGGTATGTTGTGACCCTGGGTGGTCGCTGCTGCGACTTGACCTGCACCTTCACCTGCACCTACGACACAGACACAGACTCAATGTGTGGGTAATCTTTGGGTCTTTGTGTGAGTAGTCTGTGGGTCTCTGCTGTGTGAGTAGTCTGTGGGTCTCTACTGTGTGAGTAGTCTGTGGGTCTCTACTGTGTGAGTAGTCTGTGGGTCTCTACTTTGTGAGTAGTGTATGGGTCTCTACTGTGTGAGTAGTCTGTGGGTCTCTACTGTGTGAGTAGTCTGTGGGTCTCTACTGTGTGAGTAGTCTATGGGTCTCTACTGTGTGAGTAGTCTGTGGGTCTCTACTGTGTGAGTAGTCTGTGGGTCTCTACTGTGTGAGTAGTCTGTGGGTCTCTACTGTGTGAGTAGTCTATGGGTCTCTACTGTGTGAGTAGTCTGTGGGTCTCTACTGTGTGAGTAGTCTGTGGGTCTCTACTGTGTGAGTAGTCTATGGGTCTCTACTGTGTGAGTAGTCTGTGGGTCTCTACTGTGTGAGTAGTCTGTGGGTCTCTACTGTGTGAGTAGTCTGTGGGTCTCTACTGTGTGAGTAGTCTGTGGGTCTCTACTGTGTGAGTAGTCTGTGGGTCTCTACTGTGTGAGTAGTCTGTGGGTCTCTACTGTGTGAGTAGTCTGTGGGTCTCTACTGTGTGAGTAGTCTGTGGGTCTCTACTGTGTGAGTAGTCTGTGGGTCTCTACTGTGTGAGTAGTATGTGGGTCTCTACTGTGTGAGTGGTCTGTGGGTCTCTAATGTGTGAGTAGTCTGTGGGTCTCTACTGTGTGAGTAGTCTATGGGTCTCTACTGTGTGAGTAGTCTATGGGTCTCTACTGTGTGAGTAATCCATGGGTCTCTACTGTGTGAGTAATCTATGGGTCTCTACTGTGTGAGTAGTCTGTGGGTCTCTACTGTGTGAGTAATCTATGGGTCTCTATTGTGTGAGTAATCTATGGGTCTCTACTGTGTGAGTAGTCTGTGGGTCTCTACTGTGTGAGTAGTCTGTGGGTCTCTGTGTGAGTAGTCTGTGGGTCTCTACTGTGTGAGTAGTCTATGGGTCTCTACTGTGTGAGTAGTCTATGGGTCTCTATTGTGTGAGTAGTCTTTGGGTCTCTACTGTGTGAGTGTTCTGTGGGTCTCTACTGTGTGAGCTGTCTATGGGTCTCTACTGTGTGAGTAGTCTGTGGGTCTCTACTGTGTGAGTAGTCTGTGGGTCTCTACTGTGTGAGTAGTCTGTGGGTCTCTACTGTGTGAGTAGTCTATGGGTCTCTACTGTGTGAGTAGTCTATGGGTCTCTACTGTGTGAGTTGTCTATGGGTCTCTGTGTGATGAGTCTATGGGTCTCAAATGATTAGTCTATGGGTCTCTGTGTGATGAGTCTATGGGTCTCTGTGTGATGAGTCTACGGGTCTCTGTGTGATGAGTCTGTGGGCCTCTATGTGATGAGTCTGTGCGTCTCTGTGTGAGGATTCTGTGGGCCTCTGTGTGGTGAGTCTGTGGGTATCTGTGTGATGAGTCTGTGGGTATCTGTGTGATGAGTCTGAGGGTCTCTGTGTGATGAGTATGGTCTCTGTGTGATCAGCCTAAAGCTCTCTCTGTGAGTCGTCTGTGGGTGGGTGAATGAGCATGCGAGTGGGTAGGTAAATGAATGAATGAGTGGGTGAAAGAGCGTGCGAGTGGATAGGTCAAAGAATGAATGAGTGGGAAGGTGAATGAATGGGTGGCTGAATGAGCGTACGAGTGTGTAGATGAATGAATGAATGAGTGGGTGAATGAATGAATGGGTGGGTGAATGAGCTTGCGAGTGGGTAGGTGAACAAATGGGCGGGTGAATGAGTGAATGGATGAATGAATGAGTGAATGGATGGGGTTAATGTGCGATGCGTACCGGGCCAGTCACACACGCTGATGGCCGGGTTGAACACCAGGTTGGATGGGCATTGCTTGTGGTACGTCTGGGAATTGGAGCAGTGGTAGAAGCTGTGGGAGTCTGAGGGGTCTGCGTACAGACCATCGGCCTTGCTCTGACAGAATATCGGGTTCACCACTGCGGGAGACAAAGGTGGAGCTGTTAGCGGGTCTCTATGTACGTGGGTTTCTGTGTGATGAGTCTGTGGGTCTCTGTGTGATGAGTATATGGGTCTCTGTGTGATGAGTCTATGGGTCTCTGTGTGATGAGTCTATGGGTCTCTGTGTGATGAGTCTATGATACCCTGTGTGAGTCTATGGGTCTCAAATGAGTAGTCTATGGGTCTCTTGGTGATGAGTCTATGGGTCTCTTGGTGATGAGTCTATGGGTCTCTGTGTGATGAGTCTATGGGTCTCTGTGTGATGAGTCTATGATACCCTGTCTGAGTCTGTGGGTCTCAAATGAGTAGTCTATGGGTCTCTTGGTGATGAGTCTATGGGTCTCTGTTTGATGAGTCTATGGGTCTCTGTGTGGTGAGTCTGTGGGTCTCTGTTTGGTGAGTCTATGGGTCTCTGTGTGATAAGTCTATGTAAAACAACCCTCTACCTCCTCGTGGTGCAGGACGTGCAACGCTGTCGTGGACAGTGCTGAGGGGGGGAGGGCCAATTTCGAGTGGCCTTTCCCCTCATGGCATCTGTGACCACCACAGCGGCTAAATGGGGGCTCTGGACAGGTGCGAGGGGCTGGGAACCCCTCCACCTTCAATTAATTACCACTAAACTACGACCGAAAATTTTAATTAACAAGCTTGTGCCGGAGGCTCTGTGGGGACAGGCATCTATAACGTCTCCTGGCCAAACCACATTTGGCGGAGCAAGGAGATTGAATCTTTACCCTCGGGGCTCCTCCAGAAACAATAAAATGCAACTACGGTAGCAACGTGGAATATTCGAACGCTCATTGCGGAGGGGAGGCTGCCACTCCTCTGTTGGCAGCTGGACCGGTACCGCCTGGATCTCTGTGGTATTCAGGAGGTCCGGTGGACCGGCTCTGGCTCCTGCCACGATGAGGGGTGGACAGTCCTCTACTCGGGGCAGCAGACTGCCAAAAAACAGAGTGTGGCTCTTCTTTTGAACAAAAGAATGAAGGGGCGTTGGAGCGTGGCGGTGAGGTGTGGGAAGATGTAAGCTCCAGGCTACTTTGGGCTCGTCTTCCCATCAACCGGAGGCAAGGAGTGGTGGTCGTGGTTACTTATGCCCCCACGGAAGACGAACATCCGTGGAGGGATGCAGGCAAGGCCGATCAGTCAGATGCCTTCTATGACCTCCTGTCACAGGTGCTGGATAAAGTGGCCCCTCGGGATAGAGTCATCTTGTTGGGTCACTTCAATGCCCGAGTTGGTCATGATGCTGGCACCTGGTCTGGAGTGATTGGAAGGCATGGGCCAGATCAGCTCAACAACAACAGTAGGAGGCTGCTAGATTTTTGTGCAGCCCATGGGCTTGTAATTACCAACACGCTGTTCCTGCATCGGCGCATCCACACAACATCATGGATGCATGCCGGTTCCAAGCAAGAACATCTGCTGGACTACGTAGTGACAGAACAGCGCATGCGGGCCAATGTCTTTGACACCAGGGCCTACTGTGGAGCTGATCTACCCTCTGCCCATCGACTAATCATCTGTAAAATGCGCCTGCCATTCTTCCACTCAATCCTAAGGTGGCCTGGTCTCAGCTAGCTGATTAAAGTTGCAAGCGAGAATTTCATCATCGCTTGCGGCTGGGGTTGGCATCAACCCCTATTCCTCCGATTTCGAGGGTAAATGGGTGAGATTAAGGACTGTGACTCAGGCAGCTGCAATCGCTGCTTTGGGTACGCGGTCCAGACCTCCCCAGAGACCCTGGTTGACAGAGGAGGTGTTCAAGCTGGCTGAGAAAAAGCGACAGGCTCACCCTCATCGGCTACAGCATCCCATGTCGGAGAATGAGGAGGCTTACCGCCACCTTCGCTCGGAGGTTCGGGGAGCCGTGAGGTGCTGCAAGGATGGGTGGTGGTCGTGGGTTGCTGAGGAGATGGAGTCTGCCTCAATGGCCGGCGATCACAATTCTCTATTTAATTCCATCAAAAAAGTAACCTGCAGTGCCACACCTATTACCATCATTAGGGGAAAAAATGGTGATCCAATCTCCGACCCCCAGGAACAGGTTTGCAGATTTGCTGAGCATTTCTGTGAAGTACTGGGGGAGGGGAAATCCCTCCACATGGAAAACATCGTGGGAAAAAGTGGGGATAACCCTGCTGAGGCTGCGGTGCCTCAAATATTGGAAGAGGAAGTCACCCCCTGTGAGCGGCTGTCTGAGGTGACATCTGTTGAGGAAGTATTGAAGGCGATCCAGAGTCTGTAGCCAAGAAAGGCACCGGGCAGAGATGATCTCCCAAGTGAAATGCTGAGGGAGGGAGGCGTTTGTGCACAGACTGCCCTATATGACATGATAACAACAGTTACATGGCCTGGCACAAGCATCGTGGTGACGTCACCGCCACCTAGTGGCGAATGGCGGTTGTTGTTGGTGGTGATGATCATCATCACCACCACTATCACCACCACCATCACCACCATCACCACCTTCACCCTCCCGGCTTCTACAGAGGCCACGACACCCTCATCAAGGCGTGCAACGGAGATGGAGGGGAGTGTGGGTGGAGGGTGGAGTCGACACGAGTTGAGGGCTTACCCGGTATGTTGTGACCCTGGGTGGTCGCTGCTGCGACTTGACCTGCACCTTCACCTGCACCTACGACACAGACACAGACTCAATGTGTGGGTAATCTTTGGGTCTCTGTGTGAGTAGTCTGTGGGTCTCTGCTGTGTGAGTAGTCTGTGGGTCTCTACTGTGTGAGTAGTCTGTGGGTCTCTACTGTGTGAGTAGTCTGTGGGTCTCTACTTTGTGAGTAGTCTATGGGTCTCTACTGTGTGAGTAGTCTGTGGGTCTCTACTGTGTGAGTAGTCTGTGGGTCTCTACTATGTGAGTAGTCTGTGGGTCTCTACTGTGTGAGTAGTCTGTGGGTCTCTACTGTGTGAGTAGTCTATGGGTCTCTACTGTGTGAGTAGTCTGTGGGTCTCTACTGTGTGAGTAGACTGTGGGTCTCTACTGTGTGAGTAGTCTATGGGTCTCTACTGTGTGAGTAGTCTGTGGGTCTCTACTGTGTGAGTAGTCTGTGGGTCTCTACTGTGTGAGTAGTCTGTGGGTCTCTACTGTGTGAGTAGTCTGTGGGTCTCTACTGTGTGAGTAGTCTGTGGGTCTCTACTGTGTGAGTAGTCTGTGGGTCTCTACTGTGTGAGTAGTCTGTGGGTCTCTACTGTGTGAGTAGTCTGTGGGTCTCTACTGTGTGAGTAGTCTGTGGGTCTCTACTGTGTGAGTAGTATGTGGGTCTCTACTGTGTGAGTGGTCTGTGGGTCTCTAATGTGTGAGTAGTCTGTGGGTCTCTACTGTATGAGTAGTCTATGGGTCTCTACTGTGTGAGTAGTCTATGGGTCTCTACTGTGTGAGTAATCCATGGGTCTCTACTGTGTGAGTAATCTATGGGTCTCTACTGTGTGAGTAGTCTGTGGGTCTCTACTGTGTGAGTAATCTATGGGTCTCTATTGTGTGAGTAATCTATGGGTCTCTACTGTGTGAGTAGTCTGTGGGTCTCTACTGTGTGAGTAGTCTGTGGGTCTCTATTGTGTGAGTAGTCTTTGGGTCTCTACTGTGTGAGTGATCTGTGGGTCTCTACTGTGTGAGCTGTCTATGGGTCTCTACTGTGTGAGTAGTCTGTGGGTCTCTACTGTGTGAGTAGTCTGTGGGTCTCTACTGTGTGAGTAGTCTGTGGGTCTCTACTGTGTGAGTAGTCTATGGGTCTCTACTGTGTGAGTAGTCTATGGGTCTCTACTGTGTGAGTTGTCTATGGGTCTCTGTGTGATGAGTCTATGGGTCTCAAATGATTAGTCTATGGGTCTCTGTGTGATGAGTCTATGGGTCTCTGTGTGATGAGTCTACGGGTCTCTGTGTGATGAGTCTGTGGGCCTCTATGTGATGAGTCTGTGCGTCTCTGTGTGAGGATTCTGTGGGCCTCTGTGTGGTGAGTCTGTGGGTATCTGTGTGATGAGTCTGTGGGTATCTGTGTGATGAGTCTGAGGGTCTCTGTGTGATGAGTATGGTCTCTGTGTGATCAGCCTAAAGCTCTCTCTGTGAGTCGTCTGTGGGTGGGTGAATGAGCATGCGAGTGGGTAGGTGAATGAATGAATGAGTGGGTGAAAGAGCGTGCGAGTGGATAGGTCAAAGAATGAATGAGTGGGAAGGTGAATGAATGGGTGGCTGAATGAGCGTACGAGTGTGTAGATGAATGAATGAATGAGTGGGTGAATGAATGAATGGGTGGGTGAATGAGCTTGCGAGTGGGTAGGTGAACAAATGGGCGGGTGAATGAGTGAATGGATGAATGAATGAGTGAATGGATGGGGTTAATGTGCGATGCGTACCGGGCCAGTCACACACGCTGATGGCCGGGTTGAACACCAGGTTGGATGGGCATTGCTTGTGGTACGTCTGGGAATTGGAGCAGTGGTAGAAGCTGTGGGAGTCTGAGGGGTCTGCGTACAGACCATCGGCCTTGCTCTGACAGAATATCGGGTTCACCACTGCGGGAGACAAAGGTGGAGCTGTTAGCGGGTCTCTATGTACGTGGGTTTCTGTGTGATGAGTCTGTGGGTCTCTGTGTGATGAGTATATGGGTCTCTGTGTGATGAGTCTATGGGTCTCTGTGTGATGAGTCTATGGGTCTCTGTGTGATGAGTCTATGATACCCTGTGTGAGTCTATGGGTCTCAAATGAGTAGTCTATGGGTCTCTTGGTGATGAGTCTATGGGTCTCTTGGTGATGAGTCTATGGGTCTCTGTGTGATGAGTCTATGGGTCTCTGTGTGATGAGTCTATGATACCCTGTCTGAGTCTGTGGGTCTCAAATGAGTAGTCTATGGGTCTCTTGGTGATGAGTCTATGGGTCTCTGTTTGATGAGTCTATGGGTCTCTGTGTGGTGAGTCTGTGGGTCTCTGTTTGGTGAGTCTATGGGTCTCTGTGTGATAAGTCTATGTAAAACAACCCTCTACCTCCTCGTGGTGCAGGACGTGCAACGCTGTCGTGGACAGTGCTGAGGGGGGGAGGGCCAATTTCGAGTGGCCTTTCCCCTCATGGCATCTGTGACCACCACAGCGGCTAAATGGGGGCTCTGGACAGGTGCGAGGGGCTGGGAACCCCTCCACCTTCAATTAATTACCACTAAACTACGACCGAAAATTTTAATTAACAAGCTTGTGCCGGAGGCTCTGTGGGGACAGGCATCTATAACGTCTCCTGGCCAAACCACATTTGGCGGAGCAAGGAGATTGAATCTTTACCCTCGGGGCTCCTCCAGAAACAATAAAATGCAACTACGGTAGCAACGTGGAATATTCGAACGCTCATTGCGGAGGGGAGGCTGCCACTCCTCTGTTGGCAGCTGGACCGGTACCGCCTGGATCTCTGTGGTATTCAGGAGGTCCGGTGGACCGGCTCTGGCTCCTGCCACGATGAGGGGTGGACAGTCCTCTACTCGGGGCAGCAGACTGCCAAAAAACAGAGTGTGGCTCTTCTTTTGAACAAAAGAATGAAGGGGCGTTGGAGCGTGGCGGTGAGGTGTGGGAAGATGTAAGCTCCAGGCTACTTTGGGCTCGTCTTCCCATCAACCGGAGGCAAGGAGTGGTGGTCGTGGTTACTTATGCCCCCACGGAAGACGAACATCCGTGGAGGGATGCAGGCAAGGCCGATCAGTCAGATGCCTTCTATGACCTCCTGTCACAGGTGCTGGATAAAGTGGCCCCTCGGGATAGAGTCATCTTGTTGGGTCACTTCAATGCCCGAGTTGGTCATGATGCTGGCACCTGGTCTGGAGTGATTGGAAGGCATGGGCCAGATCAGCTCAACAACAACAGTAGGAGGCTGCTAGATTTTTGTGCAGCCCATGGGCTTGTAATTACCAACACGCTGTTCCTGCATCGGCGCATCCACACAACATCATGGATGCATGCCGGTTCCAAGCAAGAACATCTGCTGGACTACGTAGTGACAGAACAGCGGATGCGGGCCAATGTCTTTGACACCAGGGCCTACTGTGGAGCTGATCTACCCTCTGCCCATCGACTAATCATCTGTAAAATGCGCCTGCCATTCTTCCACTCAATCCTAAGGTGGCCTGGTCTCAGCTAGCTGATTAAAGTTGCAAGCGAGAATTTCATCATCGCTTGCGGCTGGGGTTGGCATCGACCCCTATTCCTCCGATTTCGAGGGTAAATGGGTGAGATTAAGGACTGTGACTCAGGCAGCTGCAATCGCTGCTTTGGGTACGCGGTCCAGACCTCCCCAGAGACCCTGGTTGACAGAGGAGGTGTTCAAGCTGGCTGAGAAAAAGCAACAGGCTCACCCTCATCGGCTACAGCATCCCATGTCGGAGAATGAGGAGGCTTACCGCAGCCTTCGCTCGGAGGTTCGGGGAGCCGTGAGGTGCTGCAAGGATGGGTGATGGTCGTGGGTTGCTGAGGAGATGGAGTCTGCCTCAATGGCCGCGATCACAAATCTCTATTTAATTCCATCAACAAAGTAACCTGCAGCGCCACACCTATTACCATCATTAGGGGAAAAAACGGTGATCCAATCTCCGACCCCCAGGAACAGGTTTGCAGATTTGCTGATCATTTCTGTGAAGTCCTGGGGGAGGGGAAATCTCTCCACGTGGAAAACATCGTGGGAAAAAGTGGGGCTGACCCTGCTGAGGCTGCGGTGCCTCAAATGTTGGAAGAGGAAGTCACCCCCTATGAGTGGCTGTCTGAGGTGACATCTGTTGAGGAAGTACTGAAGGCGATCCAGAGTCTGTAGCCAAGAAAGGCACCGGGCAGAGATGATCTCCCTAGTGAAATGCTGAGGGAGGGAGGCGTTTGTGCACAGACTGCCCTATTTGACATAACAACAGTTACATGGCCTGGCACAAGCGTCGTGGTGACGTCACCGCCACATAGTGGCGAATGGCGGTTGTTGTTGGTGGTGATGATCATCATCACCACCACTATCACCACCATCATCACCACCATCACCACCATCACCACCACCACCATAACCCTCCCAGCTTCTACAGAGGCCACAACACCCTGGTCAAGGCGTGCAATGCAGATGGAGGGGAGTGTGGGGGGGGGGGTGGAGTCGACACGAGTTGAGGGCTTACCCGGTAGGTTGTGACTCTGGGTGGTCGCTGCTGCGACTTGACCTGCACCTGCACCTACGACACAGACACAGACTCAATGTGTGGGTAATTTTTGGGTCTCTACTGTGTGAGTCGTCTGTGGGTCTCTGCTGTGTGAGTAGTCTGTGGGTTTCTACTGTGTGAGTAGTCTATGGGTCTCTACTGTGTGAGTAGTCTGTGGGTCTCTACTGTGTGAGTAGTCTGTGGGTCTCTACTGTGTGAGTAGTCTGTGGGTCTCTGCTGTGTGAGTAGTCTGTGGGTCTCTACTGTGTGAGTAGTCTGTGGGTCTCTGCTGTGTGAGTAGTCTATGGGTCTCTACTGTGTGAGTAGTCTGTGGGTCTCTACTGTGTGAGTAGTCTATGGGTCTCTACTGTGTGAGTAGTCTGTGGGTCTCTACTGTGTGAGTAGTCTGTGGGTCTCTACTGTGTGAGTAGTCCATGGGTCTCTACTGTGTGAGTAGTCTGTGGGTCTCTGCTGTGTGAGTAGTCTGTGGGTCTCTACTGTGTGAGTAGTCTGTGGGTCTCTACTGTGTGAGTAGTCTGTGGGTCTCTACTGTGTGAGTAGTATGTGGGTCTCTACTGTGTGAGTAGTATGTGGGTCTCTACTGTGTGAGTAGTCTGTGGGTCTCTACTGTGTGAGTAGTCTGTGGGTCTCTACTGTGTGAGTAGTCTATGGGTCTCTGTGTGAGTAGTCTGTGGGTCTCTACTGTGTGAGTAGTCTATGGGTCTCTACTGTGTGAGTAATCTATGGGTCTCTACTGTGTGAGTAATCTATGGGTCTCTACTGTGTGAGTAGTCTGTGGGTCTCTATTGTGTGAGTAATCTATGGGTCTCTATTGTGTGAGTAATCTATGGGTCTCTACTGTGTGAGTAGTCTGTGGGTCTCTACTGTGTGAGTAGTCTGTGGGTCTCTACTGTGTGAGTAGTCTGTGGGTCTCTACTGTGTGAGTAGTCTATGGGTCTCTGTGTGAGTAGTCTGTGGGTCTCTACTGTGTGAGTAGTCTATGGGTCTCTACTGTGTGAGTAGTCTGTGGGTCTCTACTGTGTGAGTAGTCTGTGGGTCTCTACTGTGTGAGTAGTCTTTGGGTCTCTACTGTGTGAGTAGTCTGTGGGTCTCTACTGTGTGAGTAGTCTGTGGGTCTCTACTGTGTGAGTAGTCTGTGGGTCTCTACTGTGTGAGTATTCTGTGGGTTTCTACTGTGTGAGTAGTCTATGGGTCTCTACTGTGTGAGTAGTCTGTGGGTCTCTACTGTGTGAGTAGTCTGCGGGTCTCTACTGTGTGAGTAGTCTGTGGGTCTCTGCTGTGTGAGTAGTCTATGGGTCTCTACTGTGTGAGTAGTCTGTGGGTCTCTACTGTGTGAGTAGTCTATGGGTCTCTACTGTGTGAGTATTCTGTGGGTCTCTACTGTGTGAGTAGTCTGTGGGTCTCTACTGTGTGAGTAGTCCATGGGTCTCTACTGTGTGAGTAGTCTGTGGGTCTCTGCTGTGTGAGTAGTCTGTGGGTCTCTACTGTGTGAGTAGTCTGTGGGTCTCTACTGTGTGAGTAGTCTGTGGGTCTCTACTGTGTGAGTAGTATGTGGGTCTCTACTGTGTGAGTAGTATGTGGGTCTCTACTGTGTGAGTAGTCTGTGGGTCTCTACTGTGTGAGTGGTCTGTGGGTCTCTAATGTGTGAGTAGTCTGTGGGTCTCTACTGTGTGAGTAGTCTATGCGTCTCTACTGTGTGAGTAGTCTATGGGTCTCTACTGTGTGAGTAATCTATGGGTCTCTACTGTGTGAGTAATCTATGGGTCTCTACTGTGTGAGTAGTCTGTGGGTCTCTACTGTGTGAGTAATCTATGGGTCTCTATTGTGTGAGTAATCTATGGGTCTCTACTGTGTGAGTAGTCTGTGGGTCTCTACTGTGTGAGTAGTCTGTGGGTCTCTACTGTGTGAGTAGTCTGTGGGTCTCTACTGTGTGAGTAGTCTATGGGTCTCTGTGTGAGTAGTCTGTGGGTCTCTACTGTGTGAGTAGTCTATGGGTCTCTACTGTGTGAGTAGTCTGTGGGTCTCTACTGTGTGAGTAGTCTGTGGGTCTCTACTGTGTGAATAGTCTTTGGGTCTCTACTGTGTGAGTAGTCTGTGGGTCTCTACTGTGTGAGTAGTCTGTGGGTCTCTACTGTGTGAGTAGTATGTGGGTCTCTACTGTGTGAGTAGTATGTGGGTCTCTACTGTGTGAGTAGTCTGTGGGTCTCTACTGTGTGAGTGGTCTGTGGGTCTCTAATGTGTGAGTAGTCTGTGGGTCTCTACTGTGTGAGTAGTCTATGGGTCTCTACTGTGTGAGTAGTCTATGGGTCTCTACTATATGAGTAATCTATGGGTCTCTACTGTGTGAGTAATCTATGGGTCTCTACTGTGTGAGTAGTCTGTGGGTCTCTACTGTGTGAGTAATCTATGGGTCTCTATTGTGTGAGTAATCTATGGGTCTCTACTGTGTGAGTAGTCTGTGGGTCTCTACTGTGTGAGTAGTCTGTGGGTCTCTACTGTGTGAGTAGTCTGTGGGTCTCTACTGTGTGAGTAGTCTATGGGTCTCTGTGTGAGTAGTCTGTGGGTCTCTACTGTGTGAGTAGTCTATGGGTCTCTACTGTGTGAGTAGTCTATGGGTCTCTACTGTGTGAGTAGTCTTTGGGTCTCTACTGTGTGAGTGGTCTGTGGGTCTCTACTGTGTGAGCTGTCTGTGGGTCTCTACTGTGTGAGTAGTCTGTGGGTCTCTACTGTGTGAGTAGTCTGTGTGTCTCTACTGTGTGAGTAGTCTGTGGGCCTCTACTGTGTGAGTAGTCTATGGGTCTCTACTGTGTGAGTAGTCTATGGGTCTCTACTGTGTGAGTTGTCTATGGGTCTCTGTGTGATGAGTCTATGGGTCTCAAATGATTAGTCTATGGGTCTCTGTGTGATGAGTCTATGGGTCTCTGTGTGATGAGTCTATGGGTCTCTGTGTGATGAGTCTGTGGGTCTCTATGTGGTGAGTCTGTGCGTCTCTGTGTGAGGATTCTGTGGGCCTCTGTGTGGTGAGTCTGTGGGTCTCTGTGTGATGAGTCTGTGGGTATCTGTGTGATGAGTCTGAGGGTCTCTGTGTGATGAGTATGGTCTTTGTGTGATCAGTCTAACGCTCTCACTGTGAGTCGTCTGTGGGTGGGTGAATGAGCATGCGAGTGGGTAGATGAATGAATGAATGAGTGGGTGAATGAGCGTGCGAGTGGATAGGTCAAAGAATGAATGAGTGGGAAGGTGAATGAATGGGTGGCTGAATGAGCGTACGAGTGTGTAGATGAATGCATGAATGAGTGGGTGAATGAATGAATGGGTGGGTGAATGAGCTTGCGAGTGGGTAGGTGAACAAATGGGCGGGTGAATGAGTGAATGGATGAATGAATGAGTGAGTGGATGGGGTTAATGTGCGATGCGTACCGGGCCAGTCACACACGCTGATGGCCGGGTTGAACACCAGGTTGGATGGGCATTGCTTGTGGTACGTCTGGGAATTGGAGCAGTGGTAGAAGCTGTGGGAGTCTGAGGGGTCTGCGTACAGACCATCGGCCTTGCTCTGACAGAATACCGGGTTCACCACTGCGGGAGACAAAGGTGGAGCTGTTAACGGGTCTCTATGTACGTGGGTCTCTGTGTGATGAGTCTGTGGGTCTCTGTGTGATGAGTATATGGGTCTCTGTGTGATGAGTCTATGGGTCTCTGTGTGATGAGTCTATGGGTCTCTGTGTGATGAGTCTATGGGTCTCTGTGTGATGAGTCTATGATACCCTGTGTGAGTCTATGGGTCTCAAATGAGTAGTCTATGGGTCTCTTGGTGATGAGTCTATGGGTCTCTTGGTGATGAGTCTATGGGTCTCTGTGTGATGAGTCTATGGGTCTCTGTGTGATGAGTCTATGATACCCTGTCTGAGTCTGTGGGTCTCAAATGAGTAGTCTATGGGTCTCTTGGTGATGAGTCTATGGGTCTCTGTTTGATGAGTCTATGGGTCTCTGTGTGGTGAGTCTGTGGGTCTCTGTTTGGTGAGTCTATGGGTCTCTGTGTGATAAGTCTATGTATCACAACCCCCTACCTCCTTGTGGTGCCGGACGTGCAACGCTGTCGTGGACAGTGCTGAGGGGGGGAGGGCCAATTTCGAGTGGCCTTTCCCCTCATGGCATCTGTGACCACCAGAGCGGCTAAATGGGGGCTCTGGACAGGTGTGAGGGCTGTTAACCCCTCCACCTTCAATTAATTACCGCTAAACTACGACCGAAATGTTTCATTAACAAGCTTGTGCCGGAGGCTCTGGGAGGACAGGCATCCATGACGTCTCCTGGGCAAACCCCATTTGACGGAGCCAGGAGATTGAATCTTTACCCTCGGGGCTCCTCCAGAAACAATAAAATGCAACTACGGTAGCAACGTGGAATATTCGAACGCTCATTGCGGAGGGGAGGCTGCCACTCCTCTGTTGGGAGCTGGACCGGTACCGCCTGGATCTCTGTGGTATTCAGAAGGTCCGATGGACCGGCTCTGGCTCCTGCCACGATGAGGGGTGGACAGTCCTCTACTCGGGGCAGCAGACTGCCAAAAGACTGGGTGTGGCTCTTCTTTTGAACAAAAGAATGAAGGGGCGTTGGAGCGTGGCGGTGAGGTGTGGGAAGATGTAAGCTCCAGGCTACTTTGGGCTCACCTTCCCATCAACCGGAGGCAAGGAGTGGTGGTCCTGGTTACTTATGCCCCCACGGAAGACGAACATCCGTGGAGGGATGCAGGCAAAGCCGATCAGTCAGATGCCTTCTATAACCTCCTGTGACAGGTTCTGGATAAAGTGACCCCTCGGGATAGAGTCATCATGTTGGGTCACTTCAATGCCCGAGTTGGTCATGATGCTGGCACCTGGTCTGGAGTGATTGGAAGGCATGGGCCAGATCAGCTCAACAACAACGGTAGGAGGCTGCTAGATTTTTGTGCAGCCTATGGGCTTATAATTACCAACACGCTGTTCCGGCATCGGCGCAACCATACAACATCATGGATGCATGCCGGGTCCAAGCAAGAACATCTGCTGGACTACATAGTGACGGACCAGCGAATGCGAGCCCATGTCCTTGACACCAGGACCTACCGTGGAGCTGATCTACCCTCTGACCATCGACTAGTCATCTGTAAGATGCGCCTGCCATTCTTCCACTCAATCCTAAGGTGGCCTGGTCTCAGCTAGCTGATTAAAGTTGCAAGCGAGAATTTCATCATCGCTTGCGGCTGGGGTTGGCATCGTCCCCTATTCCTCCGATTTCGAGGGTAAATGTGTGAGATTAAGGACTGTGACTCAGGCAGCTGCAATGACTGCTTTGGGTACGCCGTCCAGACCTCCCCAGACACCCTGGTTGACAGAGGAGGTGTTCAAGCTGGCTGAGAAAAAGCGACAGGCCCGCTCTCATCGGCTACAGCATCCCATGTCGGAGAATGAGGAGGCTTAGCGCAGCCTTCGCTCGGAGGTTCGGGGAGCCGTGAGGTGCTGCAAGGATGGGTGGTGGTAGTGGGTTGCTGAGGAGATGGAGTCTGCCTCAATGGCCCGCGATCACAAATCTCTATTTAATTCCATCAAAAAAGTAACCTGCAGCGCCACACCTATTACCATCATTAGGGGAAAAAACGGTGATCCAATCTCTGACCCCCAGGAACAGGTTTGCAGATTTGCTGATCATTTCTGTGATGTCCTGGGGGAGGGGAAATCCCTCCACGTGGAAAACATCGTGGGAAAAAGTGGGGATAACCCTGCTGAGGCTGCGGTGCCTCAAATATTGGAAGAGGAAGTCACCCCCTGTGAGTGACTGTCTAAGGTGACATCTGTTGAGGAAGTACTGAAGGCGATCCAGAGTCTGTAGCCAAGAAAGGTACCGGGCAGAGATGATCTCCCAAGTGAAATGCTGAGGGAGGGAGGCGTTTGTGCACAGACTGCCCTATTTGACATGATAACAACAGTTACATGGCCTGGCACAAGCGTCGTGGTGACGTCACCGCCACATAGTGGCGAATGGCGGTTGTTGTTGGTGGTGATGATCATCATCACCACCACTATCACCACCATCATCACCACCATCACCACCATCACCACCACCACCATAACCCTCCCGGCTTCTACAGAGGCCACAATACCCTGGTCAAGGCGTGCAATGCAGATGGAGGGGAGTGTGGGGGGGGGAGTGGAGTCGACACGAGTTGAGGGCTTACCCGGTATGTTGTGACCCTGGGTGGTCGCTGCTGCGACTTGACCTGCACCTGCACCTGCACACACGACACAGACACAGACTCAATGTGTGGGTAATTTTTGGGTCTCTACTGTGTGAGTAGTCTGTGGGTCTCTGCTGTGTGAGTAGTCTGTGGGTCTCTACTGTGTGAGTAGTCTGTGGGTCTCTACTGTGTGAGTAGTCTACGGGTCTCTACTGTGTGAGTAGTCTTTGGGTCTCTACTGTGTGAGTAGTCTGTGGATCTCTGTGTGAGTAGTCTATGGGTCTCTAGTGTGTGAGTAGTCTGTGGGTCTCTGCTGTGTGACTAGTCTGTGGGTCTCTACTGTGCGAGTAGTCTATGGGTCTCTACTGTGTGAGTAGTCTGTGGGTCTCTAATGTGTGAGTAGTCTGAGGGTCTCTATGTGTGAGTAGTCTATGGGTCTCTACTGTGTGAGTAGTCTATGGGTCCCTACTGTGTGAGTAGTCTGTGGGTCTCTACTGTGTGAGTAGTCTGTGGGTCTCTACTGTGTGGGTAATCTATGGGTCTCTACTGTGTGAGTAGTCTGTGGGTCTCTACTGTGTGAGTAGTCTGTGGGTCTCTACTGTGTGAGTAGTCTATGGGTCACTACTGTGTGAGTAGTCTATGGGTCTCTACTGTGTGAGTTGTCTATGGGTCTCTGTGTGATGAGTCTATGGGTCTCAAATGACTAGTCTATGGGTCTCTGTGTGATGAGTCTATGGGTATCAAATGACTAGTCTATGGGTCTCTGTGTGATGAGTCTGTGGTTCTCAAATGACTAGTCTATGGATCTCTGGGTGATGATTCTGTGGGCCTCTGTGTGAATAAGTCATTGGGTCCGTATGTGAGTCTAAGGGTCTCTGCATGATGAATCTAAGGGTCTCCGTTTGATGAGTCTATGGGTCTCTGTGTGATCAGCCTAAAGCTCTCTCTGTGAGTCGTCTGTGGGTGGGTGAATGAGCGTGCGAGTGGGTAGGTGAATGAATGAATGAGTGGGTGAATGAGCGTGCGAGTGGATAGGTCAAAGAATGAATGAGTGGGAAGGTGAATTAATGGGTGGGTGAATGAGCGTACGAGTGTGTAGATGAATGCATGAATGAGTGGGTGAATGAATGAATGAATGGTGGGTGAATGAGCTTGCGAGTGGGTAGGTGAATAATTTGTTGGGTGAATGAGTGAATGAGTGAATGGATGAGTGAGTGGATGGGGTGAATGTGCAATGCGTACCGGGCCAGTCGCACACGCTGATGGCCGGGTTGAACACCAGGTTGGCTGGGCATTGCTTGTGGTACGTCAGGAAATTGGAGCAGTGGTAGAAGCTGTGGGAGTCTGAGGGGTCTGCGTACAGACCATCGGCCTTGCTCTGACAGAATATCGGGTTCACCACTGCAGGAGACAAAGGTGGAGCTGTTAGCGGGTCTCTATGTACGTGGGTCTCTGTGTGATTAGTCCATGGGTATCTGTTTGATGAGTCTATGGGTCTCTGTTTGATGAGTCTATGGGTCTCTGTGTGATGAGTCTATGGGTCTCTGTGTGATGAGTCTATGGGTCTTCATGTGATGAGTCTGTGGGTCTCTGTGTGATGAGTCTGTGAGTCTCTGTGTGATGAGTCTATGGGTCTCTGTGTGATGAGTCTATGGGTCTCTGTGTGATGAGTCTATGGGTCTCTGTTTGATGAGTCTATGGGTCTCTGTGTGATGAGTCTATGAGTCTGTGTTTGATGAGTCTATGGGTCTCTGTTTGATGAGTCTATGGGTCTCTGTGTGATGAGTCTGTGGGTCTCTGTGCGATGGGTCTGTGGGTCTCTGTGTGATGAGTCTATGGGTCTCTGTGTGATGAGTCTATGGATATCTGTGTGATGAGTCTATGGGTCTGTGTTTGATGAGTCTATGGGTCTCTGTTTGATGAGTCTATGGGTCTCTGTGTCATGAGTCTATGGGTCTCTGTGTGATGAGTCTATGGGTCTCTGTGTGATGAGTCTATGGGTCACTGTGTGATTAATCTATGGGTCTCTATGTGGTGAGTCGTCTATGGGTCTCTGTGTGATAAGTCTATGAGACTCTGTGTGAGTCTATGGGTCTCAAATGAGTAGTTTATGGGTCTCTTGGTGATGAGTCTGTGGGTCTCTGTGTGATGAGTATATGTAACACAACCCCCTACCTCCTCGTGGTGCCGGACGTGCAACACTGTTGTGGACAGTGCGGAGGGGGGGAGGGCCAATTTCGAGTGGCCTTTCCTCTCATGGCATCTGTGACCACCACAGCGGCTAAATGGGGGCTCTGGACAGGTGCGAGGGGCCGGTAACCCCTTCACCTTCAATTAATTACCGCTAAACTACGACCGAAAATTTTAATTAACAAGCTTGTGCCGGAGGCTCTGGGGGGACAGGCATCTATGACGTCTCCTGGGCAAACCCCATTTGGCGGAGCCAGGAGATTGAATCTTTACCCTCGGGGCTCCTCCAGAAACAATAAAATGCCACTACGGTAGCAACGTGGAATGTTCGAACGCTCACTGCGGAGGGGAGGCTGCCACTCCTCTGTCGGGAGCTGGACCGGTACCGCCTGGATCTCTGTGGTATTCAGGAGGTCCGGTGGAGCGGCTCTGGCTCCTGCCACAATGAGGGATGGACAGTCCTCTACTAGGGGCAGGAGACTCCCAAACAACAGGGAGTGGCTCTTCTTCTGAACAAAAAAATGAAGGGGGCCTTGGAGCGTGATGGTGAGGTGTGGGAAGATGTAAGCCCCAGGCTACTTTGGGCTCGTATTCCCATCAACAGGAGGCGAGGAGTGGTGGTCGTGGTTACTTATGCCCCCACCGAAGACGAATATCTTTGGATGGATGCAGGCAAAGCCGATGAGTCAGATGCCTTCTATGACCTCCTGTCACAAGTGTTAGCTAAAGTGGCCCCTCGGGATAGAGGCATCTTGTTGGGTGACTTTAATGCCCGAGTTAGTCATGATGCTGGCACCTGGTCTGGAGTGATTGGAAGGCATGGGCCAGATCAGCTCAACAACAACGGTAGGAGGCTGCTAGATTTTTGTGCAGCCCATGGGCTTGTAATTACCAACACGCTGTTCCAGCATCGGCGCAACCATACAACATCATGGATGCATGCCGGGTCCCAGCAAGAACATTTGCTGGACTATATAGTGACGAAACAGCGGATGCGGGCCAATGTCTTCGACACCAGGAACTACCGTGGAGCTGATCTACCCTCTGACCATCGACTAGTCATCTGTAAGATGCGCCTGCCATTCTTCCACTCAATCCTAAGGTGGCCTGGTCTCAGCTAGCTGATTAAAGTTGCAAGCGAGAATTTTATCATCGCTTGCGGCTGGGGTTGGTATCGTCCCCTATTCCTCCAGATTTCGTGGGTAAATGGGTGAGATTAAGGACTGTGACTCAGGCAGCTGCAATGGCTGCTTTGGGTACACGGTCCAGACCTCCCCAGAGACCCTGGCTGACAGAGGAGGTATTTAAGCTGGCTGATATAAAGCGACAGGCCCACTCTCATCAGCTACAGCATCCCACGTCGGAGAATGAGGAGGCTTAACGCAGCCTTCGCTCGGAGGTTCGGAGAGCCGTGAGGCGCTGCAAGGATGGGCGGTGGTCGTGGGTTGCTGAGGATATGGAGTCTGCCTCAATGGCCCGCGATCACAAATCACTATTTAATTCCATCAACAAAGTAACCTGCAGCGCCACACCTAATACCATCATTAGGGGAAAAAACGGAGATCCAATCTCCGACCCCCAGGAACAGGTTTGCAGATTTGCTGAGCATTTCTGTGAAGTCCTGGGGGAGGGGAATTCCCTCCACATGGAAAACATCGTGGGACAAAGTGGGGATGACCCTGCTGAGGCTGCGGTGCCTCAAATATTCGAAGAGGAAGTCACCCCCTGTGAGTGGCTGTCTGAGGTGACATCTGTTGAGGAAGTACTGAAGGCAATCCAGAGTCTGTAGATAGGAAAGGCACGGGGCAGAGATGATCTCCCAAGTGAAATGCTGAGGGAGGGAGGCGTTTGTGCACAGACTGCCCTACATGACATGATAACAACAGTCTGGACCACTGGACGGGTTCCACAGGATTGGAAGGATGCCCTGGTGGTCCCCCTCTTTAAGAAGGGGGACCGCACAGACTGTAACAACTACAGGGACATCTCACTCCTCAGTGTGCCGGGAAAGGTCCTGGCAAGGATTATTCAATATCGCGTTGCTCAGCACGCTGAGGAGAGGCTTGCGGAGCCCAATTGCGGTTTCAGGAAAGGGCGGTCCTGCACAGATGCCATAGTTTCTGTCCGTTTGCTACAGCAGAGGTGTAGGGAATTCCAACAAGACCTACATCTCTGCTTTATTGACCTGGTCAAGGCCTATGATACCATCAGTAGGCCTGGGCTCTGGGTTGTTCTTTGTGCTTTCGGACTCCCTGACTCTCTGCGCACGATCATTAAGGACCTTCATGATGGTGAGCAGGCCCGGGTAAAACTACGTGGCCGGAAGTCGGAGCCACTCCCTGTTCACCTTGGGGTGCGACAGGAATGTCCTCTGGCTCCCACATTATTTAATATCTATTTTGACCACGTAGTTCGTGAAGCCTTCAGTAGCTGTACCGGAAGAATTTCCATCTGGAAATTTCCATCTGGAAATTCCTCCGGTACAGCTGCTGAATCGATGCCCGGGTGAGGTCAAGGGATGGCTCCCTATTGGTCAACCATGTTACGTATGCCGATGACCTGGTAATTGCGGCTCACTCAGAGGAGGAGTTGAAGGTGCTGCTGCTGAAACTGGAGTGTGCCACTAAGAGGTGGGGTCTTACCATCAGCCCCACCAAGACTAAGCACCTGCCTGGGTATTTTGTACCATCGGGCACTCCACCCCCATAACTCCCAATCGGTGATGGGGCAGTTGTGGAGAGAGTGGAGAGTTTCCCATACCTGGGCAGTGTGCTCATGACTGGCTTCGGTTAAACAGCAGAGGTCTCACTCCGAATTATTTGAGCGACATTATCTTTTCATCGATTGCGTAACGCTGTGTGGAAGCTACCTGGTCTGTCGCTCCGCACGAAGCTTCAGGTCTTCTCGGCCACGGTCATTCCCTCCCATCTCTATGCTTGCAAAACGTGGACCCCCCTAATGGAACATCTTCGCCGGTAAAAAACATTTAGGCTTGCCTTCCTACAATCAATGCTGGATTTAACCAGGCTGGATTGTGTGAAGAGCTCACAAATCCTCTAAAGATCTGAACAAAGACCCATCGGTGAGCTCCTCCGGCAGGCAAGGCTGCATTGGCTGGGCCATGTAGCCCGCATGCCCATCCACCGCATGCCTAAACAGCTTTTGATCGGCCGGATCGAGGGGGCTAAATGGGCGCGGCATGGGCTAGAGAAGAGATGGAGTGATGTGGTACAGGAGGACGTGTAGCTGAGTGGACTTGCCGATGACTGGTACCAGCGGTGTCAAGAACGGCCTCTGTGGAGGAGGCTCGTGAAGGATGCTACTGGCCAGTTGGGGGCAGTCGCCCTCCAACAACAACGGAGGGCGGAAGAGCGATGCTCACAACAACGAGCGGAGCGCCGGGTGGCTAAAGCACAGCAGATTGGCACAGTAGGGGGCACAGGTGTTGCATCAGCCAGTCATCTCAGTCAGTCGACCCGTGGCACCTGCTGGGTCTGCCCCGTGACCTCCTGCCAGCGGGCGTTCGACACTTCACGTGGCCTCAAGGTGCACATGGCCTGGCACAAGCGTCGTGGTGATGTCACCGCCACCTAGTGGCGAATGGCGGTTGTTGTTGTGGTGATGATGATCATCATCACCACCAACACCACCACTATCACCACCACCATCACCACCATCACCACCATCACCACTATCACCACCTCCCGGCTGCTACAGAGGCCACGACACCCTGGTCAAGGCGTGCAACGGAGATGGAGGGGAGTGTGGGGGGTGGAGTCGACACGAGTTGAGGGCTTACCCGGTAGGTTGTGACCCTGGGTGGTTGCTGCTGCGACTTCGTCTCCAACTGCACACACGACACAGACTCAATGTGTGGGTAATCTATGGGTCTCTACTGTGTGAGTAGTCTGTGGGTCTCTACTATGTGAGTAGTCTATGGGTCTCTACTATGTGAGTAGTCTATGGGTCTCTACTGTGTGAGTAGTCTATGGGTCTCTACTGTGTGAGCAGTCTGTGGGTCTCTACTGTGTGAGTAGTCTGTGGGTCTCTACTGTGTGAGTAGTCTATGGGTCTCTACTGTGTGAGTAGTCTGTGGGTCTCTACTGTGTGAGTAGTCTGTGGGTCTCTACTGTGTGCGTAGTCTGTGGGTCTCTACTGTGTGAGTAGTCTGTGGGTCTCTACTGTGTGAGTAGTCTGTGGGTCTCTACTGTGTGAGTAGTCTGTGGGTCTCTACTGTGTGAGTAATCTGTGGGTCTCTACTGTGTGAGTAGTCTGTGGGTCTCTACTGTGTGAGTAGTCTATGGGTCTCTACTGTGTGAGTAGTCTGTGGGTCTCTACTGTGTGTGAGTAGTCTGTGGATCTCTACTGTGTGAGTAGTCTGTGGGTCTCTACTGTGTGAGTAGTCTGTGGGTCTCTACTGTGTGAGTAGTCTGTGGGTCTATACTGTGTGAGTAGTCTGTGGGTCTCTACTGTGTGAGTAGTCTGTGGGTCTCTACTGTGTGAGTAGTCTGTGGGTCTCTACTGTGTGAGTAGTCTGTGGGTCTCTACTGTGTGAGTAGTCTATGGGTCTCTACTGTGTGAGTAGTCTGTGGGTCTCTACTGTGTGAGTAGTCTGTGGGTCTCTACTGTGTGAGTAGTCTGTGGGTCTCTACTGTGTGAGTAGTCTGTGGGTCTCTACTGTGTGAGTAGTCTGTGGGTCTCTACTGTGTGAGTAGTCTGTGGGTCTCTACTGTGTGAGTAGTCTGTGGGTCTCTACTGTGTGAGTAGTCTGTGGGTCTCTACTGTGTGAGTAGTCTGTGGGTCTCTACTGTGTGAGTAGTCTGTGGGTCTCTACTGTGCGAGTAGTCTGTGGGTCTCTGTGTGAGCAGTCTATGGGTCTCTGTGTGTGAGTAGTCTATGGGTCTCTACTGTGTGAGTAGTCTGTGGGTCTCTGTGTGTGAGTAGTCTATGGGTCTCTGTGTGATTGGTTTGTGGGTCTCTACTGTGTGAGTAGTCTGTGGGTCTCTGTGTGATTGGTTTGTGGGTCTCTACTGTGTGAGTAGTCTGTGGGTCTCTGTGTGAGCAGTCTGTGGATCTCTGTGTGAGTAGTCCGTGCGTCTCTGAGTGAGTAGTCTATGGGTCTCTGTGTGTGCAGTCTATGGGTCTCTGTGTGTGTAGTCAATGGGTCTCTGTGTGTATTCTATGGGTCTCTGAGTGAGTAGCCTATCGGTGGGTTAACGAGTGGGTGAATGAGCAAATTAGTGAATGAATGAATGGGTGGGTGAATGAGTGAATCGGCAAATGAGTGAGTGGGTGGGTGAGTGAACGAGTGGTGAGGTGAGTGGGTTACTGAGTGTGTGTGTATTTGCGTGAATGATTGGGTGTGTGAATGAGTTGGTGCCGGACGATAACGCTGTGGTGAGCAGTGCCTTGGGGGCAAGGCCAATTTCGATTGGCCACTCCCCTCATGGCGTTTATAGCCACCACAGCAGCCAAAGGGGGCTCTGGACGTGTGCGAGGGGCTGGTAACCCCTCCACGTTCAATCCAAGTACCACTAAACCCCATTTGGCGGAGCCAGGAGATTGAATCTTTACCCTCGAGGTTCCTCCAGAAACAGCAAAAAGCTCCTGCAGATGGCCACGTGGAACGTTCGAACGCTCACTGCGGAGGAGAGGCTGCCACTCCTCTGTCGGGAGCTGGACCGGTGCCGCCTAGATCTCTGTGGTATTTAGGAGGTCCGGTGGACCGGCTCTGGCTCCTGCCACCATGAGGGGTGGACAGTCCTCTACCCGGGGCAGGAGGCTGCCAAACAACAGGGTGTGGCTCTTCTTTTGAACAAAAGAATGAAGGGGGCGTGGGAGCGTGGCGATGAGGTGTGGGAAGCTGTAAGCCCCAGGCTACTTTGGGCTCACCTTCCCATCAACCAGAGGCGAGGAGTGGTGGTCGTGGTTACTTATGCCCCCACCAAAGATGAACATCAGTGGAGGGATGCAGGCAAAGCCGATGAGTCAGATGCCTTCTATGACCTCCTGTCACAAGTGTTAGCTAAAGTGGCCCCTCGGGATAGAGGCATCTTGTTGGGTGACTTTAATGCCCGAGTTATTCATGATGCTGGCACCTGGTCTGGAGTGATTGGAGGGCATGGGCCAGATCAGCTCAATAACAACGGTAGGAGGCTGCTAGATTTTTGTGCAGTCCATGAGCTTGTAATTACCAACATGCTGTTCCGGCATCGGCGCATCCACACAACATCATGGATTCATGTTGGGTCCAAGCAAGAACATCTGTTGGACTACGTAGTGACGGAACAGCAGATGCGGGCCATGTCCTTGACACCAGGACCTACCGTGGAGCTGATCTGCCCACTGCCCCTTGATATGGTCATCTGTAAGATGCGCCTGCCATTTTTCCACTCCGGTGGTGGGTGTACACCCAGGACCCCATTCAAACCCTTAATGGCATGGTCTCAGCTAGCTGATGAAAGATGGAACCGAGAATTTCATCAACGCTTTTGGCTGGGGTTGGCATCGTTCCCCACTCCTTCTGATGTCGAGGGGAAATCGGCGAGGTTTAGGACTGTGGCTCATGCAGCTGCAATGGCTGCATTGAGTACACGGTCCAGACCTCCCGAGAGACCCTGGCTGACAGAGGAGGTGTTCAGGCTGGCTGAGAAAAAGCGACAGGTCCACTCTTATCGTCTACAGCTTCCCACATCGGAGAATGAGGAGGCTTACCGTGGACCTCCTTAATGGAACATCATTACCGGTTAGAAACATTTAGGCTAGCCTGCCTACGATTCATCCTGGGTTTAACGAGGCTGAATTGTGTGAGGAGCTCACAAATCCTTGAACGATCTGGGCAAAGTCTCATCGGTGAGCTTCTCTGGCAGGCAAGGCTGTGTTGGGTCATGTAGCCCGCATGCCCAGCCACCGCATGCCGAAACAGTTTTTGTTCGGCCGGATAGAGGGGGCTAAATGGGCGCGGCACGGGCTAGAGAAGAGATGGAGTGATGTTGTACAGGAGGATGTGGAGCTGAGTGGACTTGCCGATGACTGGTACCAGCGGTGTCAAGATCGGCCTCTGTGGAGGAGGCTCGTGAAGGACGCTACTGAGCAGTTGGAGGCAGTCCCCCTCCAACAACGGAGGGTAGAGGAGCGACGCTCACAACAATCAGCAAAAGCGCCCGGTGGCTAAAGCACATCACGTTGGCACAGCAGAGGGCACAGAGTGGTGCATCGGCCACTCATCTCGGTCATCTCAGTCAGTCAACCCGTGGCACCTGCTGGGTCTGCCCCGTGACCTCCTGCCAGCGGGCGTTCGACACTTCACGTGGCCTCAGGGTGCACGTGGCCCGGCACAAGCGTCGTGGTGACGTCACCGCCACTTAGTGGCGAATGGCGGTTGTTGTTGTTGTTGTTGAGTGGGTGTACAAGCGAGGAGGTGAATGAATGGGTGGGTGAATGAGTGAATGGGTGAATGAATGAGTGAGTGGATGGGGTGAAAGTGCGATGCGTACCTGACCAGTCGCACAAGTTTTTGGCCGGGTTGAACACCAGGTTGGCTGGGCATTGCTTGTGGTACGTCAGGGAATTGGAGCAGTGGTAGAAGCTGTGGGAGTCTGAGCAGTCTGCGTACAGACCATCGGCCTTGCTCTGACAGAACACTGGGTGGGTCAAACGTTGCAGGAGACAAAGGAAGAGATACAATTTTGATTTAAAGCTTTCGTGACTGCAGTGATTCATATTCTTAGTTTTTTCGGTAAAGTCACGTTGAACGGAAACAACAAAATAATAAAATATATATAAAACAACAAAATAATAAAATATATATGAAACAATATATTTTATTATTTGTTGTTTCCCTTCAACGTGACTTTACCGAAAAAACTAAGCATAAAGGAAGAGATGTTAGCAGGTATCCGTGTGATGAGTCTGTGGGTCTCTGTGTGAGTAGTCTATGGGTCTCTGTGTGAGTAGTCTATGGATCTCTGTGTGAGTAGTCTGTGGGTCTCTGTGTGAGTAGTCTGTGGGTCTCTGTGTGATGAGTCTGTGGGTCTCTGTGTGAGTAGTCTGTGGGTCTCTGTGTGATGAGTCTGTGGGTCTCTACTGTGTGAGTAGTCTGTGGGTCTCTACTGTGTGAGTAGTCTGTGGGTCTCTACTGTGTAAGTAGTCTGTGGGTCTCTACTGTGTAAGTAGTCTGTGGGTCTCTACTGTGTGAGTAGTCTATGGGTCTCTACTGTGTAAGTAGTCTGTGGGTCTCTACTGTGTGAGTAGTCTGTGGGTCTCTACTGTGTGAGTAGTCTGTGGGTGTCTACTGTGTGAGTAGTCTATGGGTCTCTAGTGTGTGAGTAGTCTGTGGGTCTCTACTGTGTGAGTAGTCTGTGGGTCTCTACTGTGTGAGTAGTCTGTGGGTCTCTGTGTGAGTAGTCTGTGGGTCTCTGTGTGAGTAGTCTGTGGGTCTCTGTGTGAGTAGTCTATGGGTCTCTGTGTGAGTAGTCTATGGGTCTCTGTGTGAGTAGTCTGTGGGTCTCTACTGTGTGAGTAGTCTGTGGGTCTCTGTGTGAGTAGTCTGTGGGTCTCTACTGTGTGAGTAGTCTGTTGGTCTCTGTGTGTGTGAGTAGTCTTTGGGTCTCTGTATAAGTATTCTATGGGTCTCTACTGTGTGAGAAGTCTGTGGGTCTCTACTGTGTGAGTAGTCTGTGGGTCTCTGTGTGTGTGAGCAGTCTTTGGGTCTCTACTGTGTGAGTAGGCTGTGGGTCTCTGTGTGATGAGTCTGTGGGTCTCTGTGTGATGAGTCTGTGGGTCTCTGTGTGAGTAGTCTGTGGGTCTCTGTGTGTGTGAGCAGTCTTTGGGTCTCTGTATAAATATTCTATGGGTCTCTACTGTGTGAGTAGTCTATGGGTCTCTACTGTGTGAGTAGTCTGTGGGTCTCTACTGTGTGAGTAGTCTGTGGGTCTCTACTGTGTGAGTAGTCTATGGGTCTCTACTGTGTGAGTAGGCTGTGGGTCTCTACTGTGTGCGTAGTCTATGGGTTACTGTGTGAGTAGTCTGTGGGTCTAGAATGTGTGAGTAGTCTGTGTGTATCTGTGTGACTAGTCTATGGGTCTCTACTGTGTCAGTAGTCTGTGGGTCTCTACTGTGTGAGTAGGCTGTGGGTCTCTACTGTGTGAGTAGTCTATGGGTCTCTACTGTGTGAGTAGTCTGTGGGTCTCTATTGTGTGAGTAGTCTATGGGTCTCTACTGTGTGAGTAGTCTATGGGTCTCTACTGTGTGAGTAGTCTGTGGGTCTCTACTGTGTGAGTAGTCTGTGGGTCTCTACTGTGTGAGTAGTCTATGGGTCTCTACTGTGTGAGTAGTCTATGGGTCTCTACTGTGTGAGTAGTCTATAGGTCGCTACTGTGTAAGTAGTCTATGGGTCTCTGTTTGAGTAGTCTGTGGGTCTCTGTTTGAGTAGTCTATGGGTCTCTACTGTGTGAGTAGTCTGTGATTCTCTACTGTGTGAGTAGTCTGTGGGTCTCTACTGTGTGAGTAGTCTGTGGGTCTCTTCTGTGTGAGTAGTCCCTGGGTCTCTACTGTGTGAGTAGTCTATGGGTCTCTACTGTGTGAGTAGTCTGTGGGTCTCTACTGTGTGAGTAGTCTATGGGTCTCTACTGTGTGAGTAATCTGTGGGTCTCTACTGTGTGAGTAGTCTGTGGGTCTCTACTGTGTGAGTAGTCTGTGGGTCTCTACTGTGTGAGTAGTCTGTGGGTCTCTACTGTGTGAGTAGTCTGTGGGTCTCTACTGTGTGAGTAGTCTGTGGGTCTCTACTGTGTGAGTAGTCTGTGGGTCTCTACTGTGTGAGTAGTCTATGGGTCTCTACTGTGTGAGTAGTCTGTGGGTCTCTACTGTGTGAGTAGTCTATGGGTCTCTACTGTGTGAGTAGTCTGTGGGTCTCTACTGTGTGAGTAGTCTGTGGGTCTCTACTGTGTGAGTAGTCTGTGGGTCTCTACTGTGTGAGTAGTCTATGGGTCTCTACTGTGTGAGTAGTCTGTGGGTCTCTACTGTGTGAGTAGTCTATGGGTCTCTACTGTGTGAGTAGTCTATGGGTCTCTACTGTGTGAGTAGTCTATGGGTCTCTACTGTGTGAGTAGTCTGTGGGTCTCTACTGTGTGAGTAGTCTGTGGGTCTCTACTGTGTGAGTAGTCTGTGGGTCTCTACTGTGTGAGTAGTCTGTGGGTCTCTACTGTGTGAGTAGTCTGTGGGTCTCTACTGTGTGAGTAGTCTGTGGGTCTCTATTGTGTGAGTAGTCTGTGGGTCTCTACTGTGTGAGTAGTTTGTGGTTCTTACCGTTGTTAAATCCACTGCTGCTTCCCTGTAAAATGTAAACAAAGAAAAGAATGAGCACACGATCGGGAGGGAACTCAAAACATCATCGGAATCGTCAAATGTCAACACCACCTATTAACATAGAGACCTTCAGCTGTATAAGGGGCTGTCCATAAATGACGTCACGCGATTTTGGACGATTTTTGACCCCCCCCTCAAATATGACGTCACAAATCTCTGCCCCTCCCCCCCCAAAACCATATTTCCACTTTGAATATAAAACATGATTCAAATCGCTGTAAACTATTGTCATTGTAGCGCGTATTTCACGTGGCGCTGCACTCTGATGTTGTACGAGTGTTGTCATAACAATTAGTGTTGTTATAACAATTATATATTTATATATGCTTGGTTCTTTCGGTAAAGTAACGACGTAGAAGGGAAACAATAAAATAATTAAAATATAAACAACCAAATTCTCACGACGTTTCGACTGCAACACACAAGCAATCATCAGGTGTGAAAATCACCAAGACTCACAGAGCCAGACTGAGGCTCCCACAGGGTTCAGTGTTAATCACTGATGCTCACAGAGCCAGACTAAGGCTCCCACAGGGTTCAGTGTTAATCACTGATGCTCACATAGCCAGGCTAAGGCTCCCTCCCGTAGTGTTCAGTGTCAATCCCAAAGGACTCATAGAGCCAGACTAAGGCTCACTCCCGTAAGGTCCAGTGTCAATCCCCCAAACCTCACAGAGCCAGACTAAGGCTCACCCCCGTACGGTTCAGTGTCAATCACTGATGCTCACAGAGCCAGGCTAAGGCTCACTCCCGTACGGTTCAGTGTCAATCCCCCAAAACTCACAGAGCCAGACTAAGGTTCACTCCCGTACGGTTCAGTGTCAATCCCCCAGGACTCATAGAGCCAGACTAAGGCTCACTCCCGTACGGTTCAGTGTCAATCCCCCCAGACTCACAGAGCCAGACTAAGGCTCCCTCCCGTAGGGTCCAGTGTCAATCCCCCAGGACTCACAGAGCCAGGCTAAGTCTCACACCCGTAGGGTTCAGTGTTAATCACTGAGACTCACAGAGCCAGGCTAAGGCTCCCTTCCATAGGGTTCAGTGTCAATCCCCCAGGACTCACAGAGCCAGACTAAGGCTCCCTCCCATAGGGTTCAGTGTCAATCACTGAGACTCACAGAGCCAGACTAAGGCTCCCACAGGGTTCAGTGTTAATCACTGATGCTCACAGAGCCAGACTAAGGCTCCCACAGGGTTCAGTGTCAATCCCCCAGAACTCACAGAGCCAGACTAAGGCTCCCTCCCGTAGGGTTCAGTGTTAATCACTGAGACTCACAGAGCCAGACTAAGGCTCCCACAGGGTTCAGTGTTAATCAGTGATGCTCACAGAGCCAGACTAAGGCTCCCACAGGGTTCAGTGTTAATCAGTGATGCTCACAGAGCCAGACTAAGGCTCCCACAGGGTTCAGTGTTAATCAGTGATGCTCACAGAGCCAGACTAAGGCTCCCACAGGGTTCAGTGTTAATCACTGATGCTCACAGAGCCAGACTAAGGCTCCCACAGGGTTCAGTGTTAATCACTGATGCTCACAGAGCCAGACTAAGGCTCCCACAGGGTTCAGTGTTAATCACTGATGCTCACAGAGCCAGACTAAGGCTCCCACAGGGTTCAGTGTTAATCACTGATGCTCACAGAGCCAGACTAAGGCTCCCCTCCCGTAGGGTCCAGGACTCACGTTCGCGTTGCTGAGAGCCAGCGAGCCGGCGAGCAACACGACCACCAGGGGCACGATGCTCTGAGCCATGGTGGGCACGTGGAGAGGATGCAGAGGGGAAGCGGCGGTGTCCTGGGGTGGTCCTGGAGTGGTCCTGGAGTGGTCCTGGAGTGGTCCTGGAGTGGTCCTGGAGTGGTCCTGGGGTGGTCCTGGAGTGGTCCTGGGGTGGTCCTGGAGTGGTCCTGGAGGTGTCAGGCGGAGTGATGCCACTGCTTGAGAGTCGTCGCCTTTTTATGGGCGAGCGGCTGGCGGTGCCGTGGGGGTCGCCGCCCTCCACGGCCGCGGGGAGCCTCGAAAACGTCGCCCCGGGGAGAGGAGGCGCGCCCAGTCGCGTCATCTCACGACGATGACGTCCTACACCTCCTCCTCCTACTCATCCTCCATCCTCCATCCTCCACTCCCTCCACCTCCTCCTCCACCTCATCCTCCATCCTCCACTCCCTCCACCTCCTCCTCCACCTCCTCCTCCACCCTGCTCCACCTCCTCCACTCCCTCCACCTCCTCCTCCACCTCCTCCACCTCCTCCGCCACCCTGCTCCACCTGCTCCACCTCCTCCACCTCTTCCTCCATCCTCCACTCCCTCCACCTCCTCCACCTCCTCCATCCTCCACTCCCTGCTCCACCTCCTCCTCCATCCTACGTATGGCTGTGTGTCTCTATGGGTCTCTATATGTCTCTGTGTATCTCTATGGGTCTCTGTGTATCTCTATGGGTCTCTGTGTATCTCTGTGGGTCTCTGTGTATCTCTATGTGTCTCTGTGTATCTCTGTGTGTCTCTGTGTATCTCTGTGTGTCTCTGTGTATCTCTATGGGTCTCTGTGCATCTCTGTGGGTCTCTGTGTATCTCTATGGGTCTCTGTGTATCTCTATGGGTCTCTGTGTATCTCTATGTGTCTCTATGGGTCTCTTAGTGTCTCTGTGTATCTCTGTGTGTCTCTGTGTATCTCTGTGTGTCTCTGTGTATCTCTGTGTATCTCTATGGGTCTCTGTGCATCTCTGTGGGTCTCTGTGTATCTCTATGGGTCTCTGTGTATCTCTATGGGTCTCTGTGTATCTCTATGTGTCTCTATGGGTCTCTATCTGTCTCTGTGTATCTCTGTGTGTCTCTGTGTATCTCTGTGTGTCTCTGTGTATCTCTATGGGTCTCTGTGCATCTCTGTGGGTCTCTGTGTATCTCTATGGGTCTCTGTGTATCTCTATGGGTCTCTGTGTATCTCTATGTGTCTCTATGGGTCTCTATGTGTCTCTGTGTATCTCTGTGTGTCTCTGTGTATCTCTGTGTGTCTCTGTGTATCTCTGTGTATCTCTATGGGTCTCTGTGCATCTCTGTGGGTCTCTGTGTATCTCTATGGGTCTCTGTGTATCTCTATGGGTCTCTGTGTATCTCTATGTGTCTCTATGGGTCTCTATCTGTCTCTGTGTATCTCTGTGTGTCTCTGTGTATCTCTGTGTGTCTCTGTGTATCTCTATGGGTCTCTGTGCATCTCTGTGGGTCTCTGTGTATCTCTATGGGTCTCGGTGTATCTCTATGGGTCTCTGTGTATCTCTATGGGTCTCTGTGTATCTCTGTGGGTCTCTGTGTATCTCTATGTGTCTCTATGGGTCTCTATGTGTCTCTGTGTATCTCTGTGTGTCTCTGTGTATCTCTGTGTGTCTCTGTGTATCTCTGTGTATCTCTATGGGTCTCTGTGCATCTCTGTGGGTCTCTGTGTATCTCTATGGGTCTCTGTGTATCTCTATGGGTCTCTGTGTATCTCTATGTGTCTCTATGGGTCTCTATGTGTCTCTGTGTATCTCTGTGTGTCTCTGTGTATCTCTGTGTGTCTCTGTGTATCTCTATGGGTCTCTGTGTATCTCTGTGGGTCTCTGTGTATCTCTATGGGTCTCGGTGTATCTCTATGGGTCTCTGTGTATCTCTATGGGTCTCTGTGTATCTCTGTGGGTCTCTGTGTATCTCTATGGGTCTCTGTGTATCTCTATGGGTCTCTGTCTATCTCTATGTGTCTCTGTGTATCTCTGTGGGTCTCTGTGTATCTCTGTGGGTCTCTGTGTATCTCTGTGGGTCTTTGTGTATCTCTATGGGTCTCTACGTATGGCTGTGTCTCTATGTGTATGTCTATGTATCTCTGTGTATCTCTGTGTATCTCTGTGGGTCTCTGTATATCTCTATGGGTCTCTGTGTATGTCTATGGGTCTCTACGTATGGCTGTGTGTCTCTCTGTATGTCTATGTATCTCTGTGTATCTCTCTGTATCTCTGTGGGTCTCTGTGTATCTCTATGGGTCTCTGTGCATGTCTATGGGTCTCTACGTATGGCTGTGTGTCTCTGTGTATGTCTATGTATCTCTGTGTATCTCTGTGGGTCTCTGTGTGTCTCTATGGGTCTCTATGTATCTCTATGGGTCTCCACGTATGGCTGTGGGTCTCTATGCATCTCTGTGGGTCTCTACGCCTTTGTAATTTCCACGCAACAACAACGACGATGATGATGATGGTGATGACCACGAGCCTCTTGCTCGAGCGGCTGTCACTCCTTGATGGCTCAGATCGCTTTTGAACATTTTTTACTTTATAAAAACCGAACTGACTCCCCGGTTAAACACGCGAATTGTTTCCTTATTAGTTCGCCTACTGCTGCTGCTGCTAATAATAATAACGCAAAATAATCACGGCAATTTACCCCCAGCGGCGGTATTTGAAGAGGTCACACCGAGAAGAAGATTTGAATTTTTTTCTTTGACGGGAAACGATGCAACCAAATTCTGGGCGATGAGCGACTCACGCCTTCATGTTCTATAAATACAGACGACTAGATTGGTGCCTCGGGGCGAATCTGTGGACGGTGTGTGTCTGTGTGTGTGTGTCTGTGTGTCTGTGTGTGTGTATGTCTGTGTGTGTGTCTGTGTGTGTGTGTCTGTCTGTGTGTGTGTCTGTGTCTGTGTGTGTCTGTGTGTCTGTGTGTGTGTGTCTGTCTGTGTGTCTGTGTGTGTGTGTCTGTGTGTCTGTGTGTGTGTGTCTGTGTGTGTGTGTGTGTCTGTGTGTGTGTCTGTCTGTGTGTCTGTGTGTGTGTGTCTGTCTGTGTGTCTGTGTGTGTGTCTGTCTGTGTGTCTGTGTGTGTGTGTCTGTGTGTGTGTCTGTGTGTGTGTGTGTGTGTCTGTGTGTGTCTGTGTGTCTGTCTGTGTGTGTGTCTGTGTGTGTCTGTGTGTGTGTGTCTGTGTCTGTGTGTGTCTCTAGGTGTGTGTCTGTCCAGGTGTGTGTCTGTCTGGCACAAGCGTCGTAGTGACGTCACCACCACTTAGTGGCGAATGGCGGTTATTGTGATATTGTGTCTGTGTGTGTCTGTGTGTGTGTCTCTATGTGTGTGTGTCTGTGTGTGTGTCTGTGTGTGTGTGTGCGGAGGGCGGAGGAGCGACGCTCACAACAACGAGCGGAGCGCCGGGTGGCTAAAGCACAGCAGGTTGGCACAGTAGGGGACACAGGTGGTGCATCAGCCAGTCATCTCAGTCAGTCGACCCGTGGCACCTGGGTCTGCCCCGTGACCTCCTGCCCGCGGGCGTTCGACACTTCACGTGGCCTGAAGGTGCACATGGCCTGGCACAAGCGTAGTGGTGACGTCACCGCCACTTAGTGGCGAATGGCGGTTGTTGTTGTCTGTGTATGTGTCTGTGTGTATGTCTAGGCGTCTGTCTGTGTGTGTGTCCAGGTGTGTGTCTGTGTGTGTGTGTGTGTCTGTGTCTCTGAAGGGGGACCGCACAGACTGTAACAACTACAGGGGCGTCTCACTCCTCAGTGTGCCGGGAAAGGTCCTGGCAAGGATTATTCAGCATCGCCTCGCCAGGCACGCTGAGGAGAGGCTTGCGGAGCCCCAATGCGGTTTCAGGAAAGGGCGGTCCTGCACAGATGCCATATTTTCTGTCCGTCTGCTACAGCAGAGGTGTAGGGAATTCCAACAAGACCTACATCTCTGCTTTATTGACCTGGTCAAGGCCTATGATACCATCAGTAGGCCTGGGCTCTGGGTTGTTCTTCGTGCTTTTGGAGTAGCCGACCCTCTGCTCACGATCATTAAGGACCTTCATGATGGTGAGCGGGCCCGGGTAAAACTACATGGCTGGGAGTCAGAGCCATTCTCTGTACACCTTGGGGTGCGACAGGGATGTCCTCTGGCTCCCACATTATTTAACATCTATTTTGACCACGTAGTTCGTGAAGCCTTCAATAGCTGTACCGGGGGAATCTCCATATGGTACAGATATAATGGGAGGCTGATCGATGCCCGGGTGCAGTCAAGGGATGGCTCCCTATTGCTCAACCACGTTATGTATGCTGATGATTTGGTAATAGCTGCTCATTCAGAGGAGGAGCTGGAGACGTTGCTGCTGAGACTGGAGCGTGCCACTGAGAGGTGGGGCCTTACCATCAGCCCCACCAAAACTAAGCACCTGCCTGGGTATTTTGTACCATCGGACACTCCATCCCCACAACTCCCAATCGGTGATGGGGCAGTTGTGGAGAGAGTGGAGAGTTTCCCATACCTGGGCAGTGTGCTTATGACTGGCTCCAGTTTAACAGCAGAGGTCTCACTCCGAATCAGTCGAGCGGCAATATCTTTTCATCGGTTGCGTAACGCTGTGTGGAAGCTACCTGGTCTGTCGCTCCGCACTAAGCTTTAGGTCTTCTCGGCCACGGTCATTCCCTCCCTTCTCTACGCTTGCGAAACGTGGACCCCCCTAATGGAACATCTTCGCCCGTTAGAAACATTTAGGCTGGCCTGCCTACGATCCATCCTGGGTTTCACCAGACTGGATTATGTGAGGAGCTCACAAATCCTTGAAATATCTGGGCAAGGTCCCATCGGTGAGCTCCTCCGGTGGGGAAGGCTGCGATGGCTGGGTCATGTAGCCCGCATGCCCAGCCACCGCATGCCGAAACAGCTTTTGTTCGGCCGGATTGAGGGGGCTAAGCGGGCGCGGCACGGGCTAGAGAAGAGATGGAGTGATGTGGTACAGGAGGACGTGGAGCTGAGTGGACTTCTTCTTTGGTTCTTTCGGTAAAGTCACGTAGAATGAGAATAAAATAATAAATTGATAAAATAAAATAACACAATAATATTCTCACTATGTGGACTTGCCGATGACTGGTACCAGCGGTGTCAAGATCGGCCTCTGTGGAGGAGGCTCGTGAAGGATACTACTGGGCAGGTGGAGGTAGTCGCCCTTCAACAACAACGGAGGGCGA